TCGCTTAAGCGACCATGTGTCTTTTAGGGAGAATTGCTTAAGCGATATAAATGGGTCGCTTAAGCGACCTACGTATCCTTAAGCGATTCTTTCTAAAATGACATCTGCCCAGACCTTGTTCGCTTAAGCGATTTAAGATCGCTTAACGATCGTTTCTGGAAAAGCTTGTCGTTTAGAGAGATATGTGGACAAACAAAAATATCTTATATGGACACACCATACATAGTAAATTGAAACTGCTATGAATTATATTATATGACAAACAAAAATATATCCCAAATATCAGATCCAATCTTTACAATGACACACCATACATGTAAATTATTTACAATTTCCTATACACTGCTCTTAATTTAGTTTTGATGCAAGAGTTTAGAATCCACAGTGAATGGTATCAGGCAGTCCATGCTTGAAAAGATGCCCACGACATCATTCTCCTGATGCTTTCTGGCTCTGCGCTAGCATCCAACAAATTCAAGATGATATCTACAAGGCGCTAATATGGTGCCTCGGTTGACTTTCTGTGGAGTTTGACCATTCCATTTTAGTGACCTGCAGTGTAAAACACCATAATATGAGAAAGCATGAATAGAAAATAGTCAAGCCAATGAGAACAATTAAATAAGCAGTTCTGACACAAAGTACACATCAAAACACCATTGAAAATGACACTGTTATACACCCTTATTGATAATTATAACAGGTATCAAATTTAATTGAGAATATAAAAAGGAAAATAATACGAAGGGTGGGAAAAGAACAAGAACTTACAAGTCGAAAAACCCAGTGTCAGCAGCTGAGTTATATGTTTAGAATAAATACAATCAACTCAAAAAACCCAAGTATGAACATCACCATCACATAACTACAAATTCAGCGTCCAACTTTGATCCCCTTTGATTGGGTTTCTGTGCACTCAAAACGGATCCATCTGCCCATGAAAGCATCGACAGCCCAGCGCTCCTGACAGTCTCTCATTGTTTCGTCATTCAAGCTGTCCATCGCTGTTGGTCATGTCAAACTGAATAATTTCAGGGCATATGCCCCACATTCAGCGCTACATAGGAGAAGACATTAGCATTATAATAACTTATGAACATTGTATTATGTAAGTTAGTTTTAAACAAAATTTACCTTGACTCATTTGTTGGGCAGTAGAGCGCTGCATTGGCCCCTTTCCGGTTAGTACCTGATCACCCAAGTGCCCAAACATCCCGCTATCACACAACACCGCGGGAACAACCTGGACAGTAGCTCCAACTCGACCTCCAACTGCTTGTCTCGACAAATGGTTGGGTTGCAGTCAAGGACTTCAAATCCCTCCTCTAGATGCCAACGACTACTATCCAGTGCATCTTTTTGACGGGATATGCAGTACACTCTTTTAACAAAGGCCCAACATGGCCATCTTTGGGCCGATCCCCCCTTACGTACTGCATAATCCTATCATCAACCGAAATCATCAAGGATGTATTCCAACGTTGTGGCGGCCAATCGTTTTCGCTTCGGTCCTTTGCTACAACCCTAGCAACGGCATTTTTAATTAAGTGCGATCTGCCGAACAAGCGTTTGCCCAAACGCCACATCGGTGATAGCACAGTCGGGATACACGATCATCATCACTAGTCTGTCGTAGCCTCCACAGTGCCAATATCTCATCGATGTGCTGCTCAAATAAAACACACAGATAAGTATGGAAAACACAGGCAAAAATAAGGAAATTAGTGAAAATAACTCACTAGTCCTCAAGCCACGTCCCCATCGTCAACAACTTCGAAACCATTCTTGGGATAATCCCCTGTCTTACACTTTTATGGCCATCACTTCCTGATCCATTTAATAGCATAAAAGAGTTTTTTCTTTTCCTCTATTGGCCTATACAAATCGACATTTGAGTCCAATTCCTTCTCCACTCCTCCCCCTTCCTCCATTTTTACATCCCCGCTTCCTTCGCCTCCCACCTCCCTCTCCCCCTCCTCCATTATCACCGCCCCACTTCCACCACCAACCTCCTCACCTCCTCTCAATTTCTGGTTGTTCCTCCATTGTTTTCTTCATTTTCTTCTTCTTTACCTGTGTCACTACCATGTAAGGCATTTCACAAACTTGCTCTTTCGGCTCTCCTCTTTCACCATTTTGCACTTCAACCGCCTTTAATTCTCCACCAACTTCCCTCCTTGTACCAACTTCGCCCTCCATTGTACCTACTTTCTCTCCCAGCTTATCCACTTCTCCTCTACCCTTTTCATTGTTTCTTCCATCTTGTTAAACCTCGCATAAACGGCTATTGTAAAACTCTCAACAGCCGCTTATGAGGTCAACAACCTCATTCTCCCCACGCCGATGTCTCGGTAAAGCGGTATTTGTTGTACCGTTTGCTGAGGCATACGAACCTCTTCCTCCCTCTCTCCCCTCATCCTCGGCCCCCCGACTTCATTTCCTTAGCATCAACGACATTGTCAAGCAATGGCCCTCAACTGCCATCACATGCGTGACCCCTTTGAGTCCCACATCAGGCGGTCTATCTGTTCATCCCTTTCATCCTCCATTGCTCTGAAAGATGTGACATAGCCCTCTTCCCGCTTCATCCCCAATAGCGGTCAGAAAGGGACCGACTCCCTGCAATAAAAATAAAAATCAATCAGATTGAAGCAAAATAAAAAAGCACTGCATATCAAAAGCTTAATCCTTCAATCTTACCCCACTGCTTGAATCTCAATCTCTAATTGGCCATAATCCCAATGTTCAGCTCCCGACATGACATCGCAACATCCTAGGAAATTGCTGTTGCACATCCAAATGTTTCTCCTCCCCCCCACCTTAGCAAGACAGGGATGGCCTCGTACATCCAAGCCTACATTATAAAAAACAGTCCATTCATTATTCAAAACACACATATAATAAAAATAACAAGAGCCTATTAATATTTACCTGCATTGCCCATAGGAAGCCAAACAAATTATACTTGCTTGGTTTAGCCTTCCCCCCCATTCGGCATGCTTTAATGCCATATCTGGTTTTTTCAGGCTCTTGATGGTTCGCTCAAATGATATCCCCCCACGGAGAAAAATAAAGAACTCCAAGTCGCTTACAAATAACAACCAATCTTTCTCAACAGCTTTTGTTGAGTCACTAGCCATAAGATAGAATGTAAAAACAATATCAAGCACACTTTATTTTCTCTGCATCACTAAACCGACTGTATCTAGCCTCTTCTCTAAAACTTGTCCTGTATATACTTTGCCCCTTTCAAAACCTTATTACAAAACCTTATTGCTCCCACACTCGTCCTTATTGCGTCTGCCTCCGCCTTAGTTAGCACTTCCCCGCATCCTAAGCCCGTCACCAACCATACCCACCATCATACCAAACCGTAGTGCTTTCCATCCACCACGAACCACATTTCATTTTTTTTGTTGCATTTTACTGAGTGCATCAACATGTAATGCACTCCCTGCCCCCAAAACTTTTTCCACTTTGTTCCGTTCTTTAAAACTGACCGACCAAGTGCGACCAAATCTCTTTCACCATGCCTCATTCCAGCTAAAATGGCCCTTATTCTGTCAAAAACCTCCCAGCTTGACCTCACCGTCACCCTGCAGGGAAGTAGTACCTTCTCACTTATAGGCTCCAACTCGTACTCTCTACAGTTTACAGTCTGCACAATCGATATAAATAAATGTCAGCAACAAAATAAACCAAAACCACTGTAGTCGCTTAAGCGTCTCGGATCGCTTCAGAGATCTTTACTCTGCCTCATGCAAGATCGCTTAAGCGATTTTAAATCGCTTAAGCGACCAAGAGTTAACTGAGAATCTCTTAAGCGATACAACAGATCGCTTATTATATCTGTGATTCTGCCAGACCTAAGATCCTTAAGCGACCAAGAGTAAACACTCATGATCGCTTAAGTGATCATGACTGTGATCACGAGTAAAACAGAATAATCGCTTAAGCGATACTGATCGCTTACCGAAATACAAGCAATATTCCCAAACTACGTACCCTATCTTCGCCGGCCTCCTCCTCGTCGCCTGGATCCCTCCGACGACTCCTCCTGGCCTGAATTCTCCCGGAATCCTCCTCTTGGCCTGAATTCTCGCCTGACTCCTCGTCTTTAGACCCGTTTGCTGGTTCTTCCCTTTGTTCTTGTGCCGCTGGTCTCTCCTCTGCGTGTGGACCACCTTCACTGGTCGATGATCCACCGGAGCAGCCATTGAACTGCTTGCGCCATCGGAATCTAGGATTCGAAGTGGCGTTGGGCTTCCCTCCTCATTGTCAGTGTCGTCATGGTTTTGGATTGAATTTGGTGTCAAAGTTTGCAGTTTCGATCGAAAATATGGACTGTTCGTCGAAAATGGCACAGATTTCGTTTAGGGTTAAGGAAATCGATTTTAGGGTTCAACAAATCGATCGAAAATCGCAACTATATCGTCGAAAATCGCGACTGTATCGGTTTAGGGTTCAAGAAATTGATTTAGGGTGCAAATTTACGGTGTTCGATCGAAAAAAATCGCGTCTCCCTTTCGTTAAGAAATCGCTTCTGAACTAAGAATTTCGATTAAGCGAGTGATAGTTAGTGGGGCTTATTTTGCAAAATTTCAATTTTAAAAACTTTCATTATTTCTAATTGGCCTATATATGTTAATCTTTTATTGTAACCTATTTTACGTGTTTAATTAATCTTAACTATCCAATTCAATCTTCTCTAAATTAAAAACAAATGTTTAAGGCCATATTCTAAATCGAAACTTGGGATGACCGGCAGCTAAATTTTCTCGATTTGGTGGAGAAAGTGACCAGAGGAGTGGGCAACGCAATGGTCGGATTCACAATTATCGCTTCATTTTCACTCTGCTCTTCTATGCCGACACCGATCAACCCTCTCTTCCATTTTCTCCACCTATGATGTCGTTGACTTTACCTTGCTCGCACCACATTATCATAAACACAATATCTTTGCCATTCTTTCAGTGTCGTTTATTTCGTAATTTTGTGTATTTCTTGCAGTTTGTTTAGATGGTAGCTTGCCCGGATACCATTTTCAAAAAGGCTTTGGATCTGGCTCTAACAATTGGCTTCTTCATCTTGAGGTTTTACTTCATGGTTTTATTACTATTATGTTAAAATTTTAGTTTATAAATTTCTACAATATTTATTTATTTTCGTTGGGACTGTAGGGTGGAGGTTGGTGCAACTCAGTAGCTTCATGTTTGTCCCGTAAAACGACACCGTTAGGTTCCTCTAACTTCATGGAACAACAGGTTCGGTTTGCTGGAATTTTAAGCTCTGACACATCCCAAAATCCTGGTAAAATGTTTTTTTTTTTTTATCGTATATTCAGAAATTTTTAGTGACTTGTCTTCATTTTAGTGGCTTATTGTTTGGTAGTGGATCATGTTGTTAAAGGAATTTTTCGTGCGTTCTTCAGTTTTCTTTAATTGGAACAAAGTCAAGATACGTTATTGTGATGGTGCATCTTTTGCTGGGCACCCAGATAGTGAGTTGAAGGCAAGTTTAATTTTCTTGGGTTTTGAAAGTTTATTCATTGTGAAATTTTGTAATTCTTTCTCGTTAACAATGCAAGTTTTTCTATCCATGTTTATTATTTTGTGCCACAGAATGGAACAGAGCTTTTCTTTAGAGGCCAGCTCATCTGGGAAGCATTTATGGATGAACTATTATCTTTGGGCATGTCTAATGCCAAGCAGGTAGATTTTTTAACTTCATAATTTAAGTTACTATTGTCTCTTAAAAATTGTTTTATAAACTGACAGCTTAAACTTTTGAAAATGTTCTTGTACCAACAATTTTGATGGTGGAATTAGAACTGTTAGAATGATATAGTGACACATAAATGTTGTGTGTGCTTACTAGTTTGGCTGGCAAGATCTCTTGTTTGAGCATAAGAATTCTTGGTGTAACCTACTAACACCAAGGCTAGTGATTTAGGGGTTGGGGCGGTAGGGCTGGTGGTATTCAGAAAAAAATTATTAAAAAAAAAAAAAAAAAAAGAAAAGGAACTGGATTTAGCCAAGTAACTGGGAAACTAATTGTTCTTCACTCTCTCATGAAGTTTCAGAATCAAGTGCGATCTTGAAACATATTCTCTTTCTGTTTACACAGTGAACAGGATGAAATTGTTGGTCTGCTTTGTAAATATCGATCATGTAGAAGTGGAGTTAGCTGTATATTTCATCAATTATTGTGGCTTGCAGGCACTTCTTTCAGGATGTTCTGCTGGAGGTTTGGCCACTTTTATACATTGTGATGAGTTTCGAGATCGTCTGCCAAAGCATGTAACTGTCAAGTGTCTTGCTGATGCAGGTTTTTTCCTTGATGAGTATGTCTTTTAGTATTCATTCATGTTTCCTACAATTATTTGTGATAATATTTCTATGTTGTATTTATCCCTTTTAAAGTGTTGTTGTATCATACTTTTTGATAAAAAGATTTCTAATTATTCTGTGGTTTTACAGCATAAGTGTATATATGTTTACTATTTAGAAAAATTGTAATGCCATAACAAATTACTGCTAGGATGTTATAACTGAATTTATTTATTATTGCTACTTTTTTCTTATATAACATTTGCCAGGCCATCCTCCTTAGGCTTTTGTTTTTATGGTGGTCTATAGTCAACTTTTTGTAACTTCTCATTTTCACTATTAATAAAAAAACAATACATTCTTTTTAAGAAAATAAAGGAGAAAATTTAGCATCTTTGTGGTTCATTTCAGGCCGGATATTCTTGGAAATCGCACCATAAGATCTTTCTATTATGATGTTGTTGACCTTCAGGTTCTGCTCAATTTATTGCTGTACCTGGTTATATATTTTCTTTCTATATGGTATGGGTACCTGTTCTTCATATGGTTTATTTATTAAAGTGGTTAACCAGAACGGTGCATTAGGTCATTGCCAAAAAAAAAAAAAAGGATTTCAGCTTACAATAAGATTGATCAACTGGTTTGATTTAGTTTGACATTTTCCACCTGCAATTTAATCAGAGTTGTGAGCTTTTTTGATTGTGAAATATTTAGTGGCTCCTTATTTGTTGTTGGTTCAACTGGTTGAATCTTCTGGGGCTATATAAAAAGCTTAAAGATAAAATCCACTTGCAACCAAGTTTTAGAAAAATAATTGAATGTTTCAAAAGATAAGAAAATTTTATTAACGGGCTACACTGCTGTTGCATTAACAGTTTAAATACGGATAATAACATTTTTAAAAGCTGCATTACTTTAAATTATTGACAATTCTTGCTTGTTCCATCACAATGTCAGGGTGTAGCAAAAAGTTTGAACATGGATTGTCTTTCAAGAATGGAATCATTTAAGGCAGGTCTTCAGTTTTCTCTTTTTGGCATACAATGTAATTGAGCAAATTTTGGATGTCACACTTTTGCTGCTTCAGTTATAAATTTCAGCTTGTTGCCACTAATACTTTAAAATGAATTGCATAGCAGTGTTTCTTTCCTCAAGAGTTTGTTAAAAACATAAGGACTCCAGTGTTCATTGTCAACCCAGCTTATGATTTTTGGCAGGTAATTCCCTCAAAGCACATGTTACATCTGCTGATCCTGGTACTGTTATTATTCCATGCATGACATATTTCTGATACTAATTAGATAATCTTTAGATACGTAATATCTTGGTACCAGATGCATCAGATCCTCGCGGCAAGTGGCGTCCCTGCAAACTGAACATTCATAGCTGTAATCCTCACCAGCTTGAAATTCTACAAGGTAATTGTTAGATACATATTTTACTAGACGATATATACGCCTGGCAGTCTAAGTAAATCTGAAAAACAATAGTATATGTTTGCACGGTCTAGCTGCCAAAGCTTAAAACATCCCTTCAAAAGCTGCTATGTCAATGATTTCATAGTTGAAAATGCCACTATGGTTGGTTGCAGCCATCTGGTTAATGATATATTCTGGACTGGCCTGCGTAAACATGACTGCTAGGATAATCATTTTAGGTTGTTCTGCCTATAATAGGCTGTAGGTGAGACACAAATGGTGTAACGAAATCCATACAGAAGCTTTTGTGTAAGCTTTCTGCGTCTTTGGTTTAAGACTGGGTTAGGCAGTTTCTCTCTCTCTCTGGTGGGGAGTGGTGGAACCGAGAACAACTGCCTTAAAATCCTATACTTATGGACCCTGTTGCCACTTAAGATTCGGACTACTAGGACTATGGCATATGTACTGTGACTATTAGAACAAGGAATGAGAACTTGAGATAACAAGCTGGTTCTGATTGATTTTAGCAGCTATGTTTAGACTGTTTTGGTATTTGGTGTGATTCATTTATCTACTCACCCTGAACAGGTTATCGTAGTTCCATGCTGAAAGCTCTAAGTGAATCCCAGCAAATACAGGGAGGGGGGATGTTTATAAATTCTTGCTTTATCCATTGCCAGACTTGGATGGCTGAGACATGGCATTCACCCAATTCTCCTAGAATCAACAACAAGGTATGGAAGTTGCATCATGTAATTTATGCCTTATATATCAGATGTTGGTTCCTAAATCCTGTAAGACACCAATGTTTTTAAAAAATCAGTGTTCATTATATATAATTGTTCTGACCAGTGTTTGAGAGTTACATAACTAAAGTTTGATGTTGATATTTCCTTTTCTTTGGGATTCTTATTGTTTTTCTTAACAATTTTTGGTGGGCTGACTGCTTTTGGAACAGACAATTGCAGAGTCTGTCAGTGATTGGTACTTTGACCGAAGAGCAGTGACGCAAATTGATTGCCCTTATCCATGTAATCCCACCTGCTATAACATGGATTTTACACGAGGATGATAGGCTCATTGCTGGTACTGTTTCTACAACTAGTAATTCTGAACTCCAGATCTCCATTACCAAATTACCGTGGTGGAACTTTTTATCTTGTGTCCCCAAAGCAAAATCCCGAATACTGAAGATTGTATGCAAAATTAATGGTTGTAGTTTACGGTATACAATCAGGGGGTAAAAACATCCTTTGTCTGGCTGCTCTGCACCATGGATTCATACTTACATGATGAATGTATTCATTTTAATTGGAAGAATCTTGATATTGGAAATTGATGCACTTTGTTTACACTTTGTATATTAAAGTTTATTCTCCATTTTGAATTCTTTTGCACCTTTATTTTATTTTTCCCAGAACATTGCTATTGTTGAAGTCAAAAGTTTGTTCAATATTTTATTCACAAGCATCCAGAAATTCTGCATTGTAAGTTCAAAGAAATGGCAATGGCTTGTCAAAGTTGTTTCTCTGCCAATTACCTGAGTTTTGACTTTTAATTGAGTAGTTGATGAAGCAATTTGTGCAGTGGAAATTGCAGATTAATACAATCAATAGTGATGTTTTGTTTAAGTAGATTTTAAATCTTCATTGCTCTCCCTTGTCCCTTCCACTTGGCTAAGTGGGCAAATATAATTAAAGAGGTTCAACCTTTAATTGATGGCCACTAATTAGCCATCATACTTTCATAATTGACCGAAAGGTGTGTGACTTTGTTTGTCCAATCACCACTGCAGCAGCCCATTTGGGTAAAAAGTAAATGACAGTGACTTGTATTAATTTCTTGATTGAAAGATTAAAGTTGACTTTAAAAACAAGTTCAACCAATTGCCAGGATAACTTAAATTTCTGAAAAAAGCTAACGGCTTTTTCCCACTCAATGACATTTTTCTAACGACATTTTTTAAAATAACTATTCAAATTTATATTCAGCCGTCGAACAGAGAGTAAACTTGTTCCAAACTATTGATGTTTTTGAAGAGAGGTGGCCGATGAGTCTTTTGATGGTGAAAGATTGGATTTTAGTGGGTATGATTGATCTGAATTTGACTTAGGAGAGACAGTTTTGTAAACTCTAATCGCTCGATTACCAATGATTGACAAGGTTGGCAGGAGTATGGATTAAGAGGTTTTAATGAGTGATGATTGAGGAAGAGAATGATGTTAGTATGAGGTCGCAACGATGCTGGAATTGGAAACAGAATATAAATTTGCATAGGAAAATAGTATTTTAAAAGTTTGTAGGTGGACAAATGTCATTAAATCATTATTTGGATGAGAAAAAGTCATTTACTCTTGCTTAGAATGGTGATAAATGGACGCAGAACAACCCACCCATTATCTGAAAAATCAAACCCATTTTTCAAATGTGATGACGAAACCATCTAAAACATTTGAAATATAAGTTTTCTTTCCCAACTAAAGTCAATCAAAAATTTTCCAAACACCATGGAACAAAGATTGCTGATTCAAAGGCTAACTAACCCTACAGAATCTGCATAAAAAGTCCTCAAAAAACAAAAACCTTCCAATCTCCACAAATGGCAGGACCATCACCATCAGCATCAAACACCATTCACTGTTTTCCAACCATAGTTTCTGATAATGATAAGCTCAAAAATAAAAAATTTAGGGTTTACTTTTGTCACGAGATGTCAGAGAGAAACCTAAACCCACTATTTAACTATCAATAAATTAGTTTGGATCAAATGTATTCAAATCTTATGTGCGTGTATCTTGTCTTGTCTCTTTGCTTCAACAGTTTCATTTAATATATAAACCTACCCATCTTCATTAACATCATCATCTTTATTAAAAAATACTTTTAAATTTTGAAATTGTTGAGTCTGGTTTTAAGATAGTTATTTAATTACTTAAACCTTTTGGACCCATTAAAGTCTGCAAAACAAACACAAAAACCCCCATTTCAGGATTAAAAACCTTTTTAATGACGTAAAAATACTACTTCTAAGGGTTATTATTATTTTGCGGACACTGTTTTTAGAAACTCATAGAAAGGACAGAAGTTATTTTTTTTTATCAAAAGAATGACACTTATAATGGACATTTGTACTTAGATTTAACTATTTTCTTGTCAAATGACATAAACACCCTTTAATAATTTCAATTTAAATTCTGAAATAAACTAAATATTAAAGATTAAATAAAAATTAATTAATTAATTAAAATTTTAAAAAATTATTATTATTATGTCATCGACAATCTGATCAGAATGGCTTGGTGTGATTATAGCCAAATCGCACTAGCCTTGTGTAATTCAACTGGAATCACATTAGGCTAGGTGCGAACAGGTTGAAATGCACCAGTTCATGTGCGATCAATGTTTTAAAATCTGGCCCAACCGATCGAACCTGTTCAACCGCGACTCGGTCGGTGAGCCGGGCCGGGTGAGGCTTAAAACTGTTATTATGAGTCTACTCAGTTACACCCGCGGTTGGATCGGTGCACTGTAGCACCCGTCGGTCCAATTGTTACTTAAAAAAAAAACTGGGTCAGCTTTAAAAAATTTAAATTAAACCCATATTCTAAAAATTAAACAGTTAAACCCCCAATCCCAAAGCAAATATCAACAATCCCCCTCCCCCCTTTTTTCACGCCATTTCCCTCACTTTTGGTCTGAACCTAAAATCTTCCATCGGAGTCTCCCCTTCACCGTCGAATTTCGTCGCTTCAGCCTTCATCGTCAACTGCTTAGTTCATCGTCAGCTGGGGTACCACGAATCTCCTCCCATTTCGCGATCTTCTCTGTCCTCTCTTCACTCTTCTTCACCACCGATCTACTCTATTCATCCGTCATCGTCGATCTCGTCTTCTTCTTGCCCAAGAACTGTCGCCTCTTCCTCACATTTGCTTGATCTAAGCTTTTCACACTTTCACAGTTCATAGTTCACACTGTTCACAGTCGAGCTCCACCTCTCTGACAGTCAACGGCAGCTCATCTTCACCAATACCAGGTAATTGTCGCCTTACTGATGTACATTCCAGCAACAAACATTTAATTTTTTTTGGTCAATGATGAATGAACACTTGATTTGAGTATTGAAGAAAGAAGATATTAGTATATTACACTGAAGACTGAACAGGGAGGTACCGTAAGACAAACCAACAAACAAAGAAACAAAAAAATGTTGCTCTTCAGTTCAGCATACACGTGAAAAATAATAAGGGTTAATTATTAACAAACACTATAGCTTTACTCTTTTAACACAAAACTGAATGTCCAAATTGGAATCATGAGCATTTTGAAAATAAATTTTTACAATGCATGATTATGCAGTAATAATGTATATATATATTTCAGTGCGACATATTCCATTAGACATAGTTGGTTGATTGAGGTTAATTGCCACAATGATGTTGTGGCTTTATGTGGACATCTTGAAGTAGTTGAATTTCTTATGTTTACACAATACACACATATGCCATGCAAGAATTAATCAAACATATTGAATCTTTAATTTAATTTATGAAGATATTTTCGATTATGATTGATACTAACTTATTTGTTATTTGTGTCGCCAAGGTAGAGATCAAGATTAAAGACAAAGAATATGTCACATCTAGGTCTTGTTAACAATCTGCTTTCATGGATGTTTCACAATCTTTTCGAGGAAGGAATGATATAGCATGGGGACATGTTAATGAGGGCGTGGATGAAAATGGGAAGAAGATGTTAACACGTCTTTACTGTGGCAAGATAATCAGAGGTGGAGGAATTTATCGAGTGAAATTGTATCTAACGGGTATAAAGGGAGAAGTTAGAAAGTGCTCTAAAGTTCCTTTCGATGTTAAATTCAAGATTGAAGAAGCACTAAATGAAATTGGGGCCAAGAATAAACAAAAAGTTGAATTTCATAAGAATGTCAATCCTTATGGAGCTAGTGTACAACAATTTGAGGGTGATGTATTAGATGAAGATGAAGAGTATGAAGAGGTTTCTTCATGTCCAACTCCAACTTCAACTTCAACTTCAAGCACTAAGAGAAAAAAGTTCTATTGGGATAGGTGACTATTTTGCTTCAAGGACTAAGTCTGGGTCTCAGCCCTTAATTAAGAGTGTTTTAACTGGAAAAGAAGCTAAGTGGAGAGTGGACCTGGCTGTTTGCAAGGTTATTTTATGATTCTTGCATCCCAATTAATGTAATTAATTCAATTTATTTTCAACCTATGGTGGATGCTATAACTGCAATTGATCCTGGGTATAAAATCCCAACTTATCATAATTTAAATGTAAATTTATTGAGAGATGCTACTTGTTAATGGTTACAAGAAAACTTGGGAGGATGTTGGATGTACTTTAATGGCTGATGGTTGGACAGATAATTCACATAGGTTGCTGCTTAATTTTCTAGTATACTGTCCTAAAGGAGTGTGTTTTGTGAAATCAGTGGATGCTTTAGATGTTTTAAAGGATGATGCAACATTGTGCAGCTTGTTTGAGGAAATAGTTTTATGGGTTAGACCAAACAATATTGTCCATCTTGTCACTAACAATGGAGCAAATTATAAAGTTGTTAGAAGAATGTTGTCTGAAAAATATAGCAGTATTGCTTGGTCTCCTTGTGCAGCACATTGCATTAATTTGATGCTAAAAGACATAGTTGAGATGAGTCATATAGTTAGCCTTTTGAGACGTGCATCTAAGGTTACAAAGTTTGTGTATAATCATTCATTTGTGCTTGCTTTGCTGAGGAAAAAATAGTTTATATACTTTTACCTCATATTTTTATAATTTACATTGTCAAGTTATATTACATATATACATTTTTTAATAATTTACTAAATACTAACATCTATTGTCTATCACTTGAATAGGGTTGGGCAGAAATTCTACGCCCAGGTACAACTCGTTTTGCCACAACTTTCATTGCATTGAGCAGCCTACATCAGCACAAACATGACTTGCAATCTCCGGTGACAAATAGAACTTTTATAGAGTCTCGATATGCAAAAACTAATGAAGGCAAAGCCTTTATTTCCATAGTTCTAGATAACCGATTCTGAGATGACATTGGTATAATTTCCAAAGTTATGAGTCCATTGATGCGTATGCTCCAGATTGTAGACTCAGATGAGAGGTCTTCAATAGGATATGCGTATGATGACATGTACAGAACGAAGATGGGGATCAAGAAGTTGTTTAAGAATAAAAAAAAATGTGTACAAGCCTTATACAATAATTATTAAGACGCATTGGGGTAGGATGTTGCACCGTGATATTCATGCAGTAGCATATTATTTGAATCTTGCTCTTAAATATAACGAAGATACTTTTTCCAAAAAACTTGAGGTCATGTATGGTTTCCTTGGCACTATTGACAGTAAAGCAAGTGCATTCAAAATGAGCAAGACAACGTTACTGGAGGAGAGTATGTTATATCAAGACCATTTAGAAAGCTTTTCTCGTGAGCTTGCTCTTCAAACTTGCAAAACTACACGGCCGGGTATGTAATAGTTATTAATTTTTTAAGTCTAATTTTTAAGTTATGAAATTGTGTTTATTTCTTATGTAATTTATACTTTTATTCTCAATTAGATGAATGGTGGAGGACATTTGGGTTTAGTGCTCCAAATTTGCAAAGTTTGCAATCAAAGGCAAACTTCGGCCTCTTCCGGATGTGAGCGAAATTGGAGTGTTTTTGAACGCATACATACTAAAAAGATGAACAGATTGGAGCATCCACGGTTGAATAATTTGGTTTTCACTCATTATAACTTGCGTTTGCAAAATAGGTAGAAAGCCTTCTTCATTTTGTTATTTTCATTGATGTCTTTATTGGTCATGATTTGAATATTTAATTCTACTATTTCAGGAGTTGTTACAAGAAAATTACTTATGATCCTGTTGATTATGAGAGTATTGATAAAACTGAATGGTGAATAGTTGATAAGGAAGAGGAAGAGGAGGTTGGTGAGCTTAATTATGATGAATTGGAACTATTCTTATTGATGGTGGTGATCACCCTTCATATTATGACTCAACAAATGCTTCAAAAGGTTGTTTCCAATTTTGTAAGCAATTTCAATTTGGTAGTAACTAGTTTATATTCAATTAGTTTAAATGGGAAGATTTAACTTATGGTTTTCTTTTTTTGCTAGAATTTCTTGTAGATGATGTTGTTGATGTTAATAATGATGACGATCATCTGTCAGATGGTGTGTGAACTGTGAATTTTAATTGAGGATAGAAAGATGGATTGAAGACCATTGGGTGAAGATCATTTTTTGTTAAAATGTTGAAGTGTTGAACAACTATTATGTGATTTCTTCCTACATTTTGTTATTTTGATTTGTAATTTGTTGTATTATTGATGTAATGATGTTTGATGATGCTTTGCTAAGGACTTTTTATTCAGGAGTTTATGATTTGCATTCAAATTCTGGAATTTTGCATTCTGTGAACAGTGACATGATGACGTCATCATGTTGGCTTTGCTAAGGACTTTTTATTCAAGATTTTATGATTTGAATCCAAATTTTGGAATTTTGCATTCTGTGAACAGTGACGTGATGACATCATCATGCTAGTGTCAACATGATGATGTCAGCGGTTGAACCAGCTGGAAGTCGACCCAGCCATCTTGTTAGGTTTTGTCCTAGGTCGGTTTTTAAAACACTGTGTGCGATTTTGCTGGAATCACATTTGGGTTGGTGAGATTCCGGCAACACTATTTTGTTTTTAGTTTTTTTAATTTCTCGAAAATAACATTTTTATATAATTTTTCAGAGTATTTAAATTTAAAATTTTCATCCATTTTTTTTTTCATATTTCTTAAGTTAAGTTTTTATTTTTGTGATTATTTTATTTTTATATTTTTTTGTTTCAAAATTTCCAAGTTATTATATTCTTTTTCATTTATAAATTTTTTCAGAATTTGTATTTTTCTTTCAAAATTTAAGATTTTTTATTTTAATTTTTCAGGTTTTTTAAGTTTTTTTTCTTTTCTTCAGTTTTCCCTTCTTTAAAAATGTTGTTCAAATTATTTTATTATTTATAATTTCTTTTTCAAATTTTTTTATTTTTATTCAGATATTTTAAGTATTTTTCTTCTTTTTTTCAAAAATTTTATAAGTTCTTATAGTCTTTTTCAGTTTATTAATTTATTTTTCATGTTATTTTATTCATTTTTCAGTTATTTTTCAAATTTTTTTAATTTCCGTTTTTTCAATTTTTAATCACAAGATATACTATTCTTTTCAGTTTCTTTTTAGATTTTATAAGTTTTTTAATTCTATTTATAATTAAAAGACAAAAATACTCCTAGACACAGTTAAGTGTAACAGTGTCTCACTTTTACTGTCCTTTTTCTGATAAAAATAAAAACATCTGTCCTTTTTGAAAGTTTGAAAAAAACAATGTGTGCAGAATGATAATAACATTCTTAGAAATGTGGCAAGTCCAAAATAAATAAATATATGTTATTGAGGGTTGGTCAAATGTTGCATTTGTTCGTTGATTTGAGGAAGAAAAACATGATTTTGAAAATCGAGGGTTTGAAAAAAAACTTTTGCTGACCTTTTTTAAAATGTCAAAAAAGTCCAAACTCTCAAATAAGAGTAATCCAAAAACGCGTAATAGAATATTAACAACAAAATGATGCCACTAATTGACTATCACCATCATATACCCAACTGCACTCTTCCTCTACTTTTTAATCAAAGTTTGAAGATTGAACTCCATATCTTCTTTCTAGAACATAATTAATTTAATTTAATTTAATTTTAATTAATTCTTCAGTTTCATACCTAATCATGAAACGACGTGTTTGTTGCGCGTATGGCTTTGTTTGTTTGCTCAGTGGAGAACCCACTTGAAAGAAACCCAGAAAACTATTGCTTTAAGAAATCATTTTTCTTTCTTTTAATCTGTCAATTCATTTGTTTTTTCTTATGATAATACAACCATGCGGCTGCCGAAAGTTTGATCATTTATGCAGTAGAACAGTCTTCTCTGAGTGTTCAATGACAGCCTAATTCGTATTATAAACATGATGGGAAAAAATGGGGAGAATATATTTATACTTATATCAAGGTGAAAAAAGATTAGAAAAAAAATTTAAAAAAAACAGCCCAACCTGTATGCATTTGTATTTTTTTTTTTTTTTTTTTTTTTTAATATAAGCTATCTCTATTTACACAGATGAACGCCATATTCTTCCCTCGAATGAGATTACGATGACAGTAACATCGTCGTGATATCTTCTACGATCCCCTTGTGGGATATCAAGCAACTCATGGAAGTCAATACCTGCATTGTTTAACAAAACCAAGTTTCATTAGATTGATTTTTGTGTAAGAGTATGTATGATCACTCATTTTAGTTCAGATTGTTACCGGCTTTCTTTGCTGCGCGGAATAGTACTTCTTCGATTAGATGTTGTGCAGGATCTCCTTCGGGAAATGCAGCGATGAATAACTCAACTTCGGATACAGCTTCTTCGTTGGTGAAGTATTGATAGAGTCCATCTGAAGACAATATCAAGAACTTGTCCCTTGGGCTGAGTCGATGATGATAGAGCCAAGGCAAACAGGTGATGTATGGAGAAGTACCGATGTAATTGATTCTAAACATCTCAAGAAGTGCATCATTCCACTTTGGCTGCCATGTAAAACCAAAGGATTAGACTTTGTACAATCTCAGTTGGTCATTAATACCGTATCAGTATTTGAACAATTAGGCCTTGTGTAAAGTTTAAACTATGAAGATTGGGGCCTAGTTATGGAAGCAATTAGTATCAAAAAGGCAACGAACAGCCATTTATATCTTGCAAGCTTGTTAAAATCATTCATACAAGTAATAAGTTTAGAATCTATGAATACCTGTTTGAGAAATCCGGCCCCAAAAGCGCGAGTGACCTTCAAATAACCTTTCACTCTGTCATTCATTACTGCAGAATCATCATCTGGATGTTCTTTCTTAATTCTCAAGACTTCCTGCAATATCAAAACGCCATTTCAGTTCATGTAAAACTAAATAAATGAATCATCAAAAACAGAGAACAATTACAAAGTATTAGTCTCAGTTAAAGAAAATCACCTCCTCCTCATAAGTGCTGTGATCAACAGTGAGCTGAACGGATGTCAAGTTATTTAATCTGTCCATTTCGCCATCATCAAATGTTTCAAGGTCATGCATAGTTTCCTCCTTAATTCTTTCTAAGTCCTTCCGCGCCCTCCCTAATCCGATATTCGGCTCAAGTTTCTTCGCTAAAACTGCCCGACTATCCCCAACATTCATCAAATACACATCCTCTCCCTTCATCAACATCACCAAAACACAAGAACCCATCAAAGCCAATTCAGGATTCTCCCTCACCATCAAATCTGCAACCTCCAAATATGAGTCCTCTGTCTTCTTTAAGGCAAGCGAAAGCGCCTTCAGGACATCCGAATGGTTGACCCCGTTTGACGCTTCACAGTTTAATTTTTCCTTCAACTTCCTATCAAGCTCTAGCCTTTCCCTATCCCATTCACACCTCCACCTCTTTTGATTCTCCTCCCGTTTCTTCGCCACACCTTTCGCATTCTTTTTCTTCTTTGGTTTCGAAGTCTCATCTATAAAACCATTTCCCACAGGATGATTGTTCTCCTTATCAATCTGAAATTGATTTAATTCATCAAATAAAGACGACGCCTCACTTGAACTCAACGAATTCCCGGTGGATTCAAACTTATCATTCCATAACAACCCTTTGAGTTCCTTATGAACAGCAGAGTATAAATTAGAAAGTAAATAATCAGGAGCATCAGGACCGTTAAATCCATCATAAATCCCAACAAAAACCCATCCATGTTTCTCTGATACCACAATATGAACTCGATCCTCACCGGCTTTCCCTTGTGCCCACTGAAGATTCTGACTCTTCATTGAAAATTCGTCATCATCATCATCAACAATCACACCACCTTCATTGTTCAAGCTCATGTTACTACTCACAGTAGTGGTACTCCCGCTCACACTCTCATTGTTTCTCTCTGAATCCATTTCTTTAACCCCTTTACACGATTTATTGCCACGATAAATTGATAAAACTCTCTTGAAAACCTTCTTTAATCTTTGTTTCTTGGAATTTCCTTTGATACTATTTTGAGATAAGCTTCTCTGCAACTTATTATCATTATCACATTTTTTTTCTTTATCAATCATCGGGCCAGAATACAACCCGCGATCGATGGGTCCCGATACAAACCCGCGCTCGATGGGACCCGACAAGAAGCCTCTCTCGATCGGACCAGACCCGGTCAGGGAAGCACCCGACCCGGATTGGAACGAGCTACGGGGAACTGGCTGGAGAGGAAGAGAGGCGAAAGAATCGGAGCTCTCGAAAGTGGAGGCCCGATCAATGGAGGAAGTGTTGTACGGACATGAGTCGATGAGGGCCACTGATAGAGTCTGGGTCGACACGTTGGCACTGACCGAGGCGCCGGAGATTGAGTGGAAAAACTTCGTCGTTTGAAGGACGTTGTTTGTGGAGAACTCGGTATGGACTCTACAGGAGGAAGAGAGACGGGGCTGTTCAGGCGGTACGTAGCAGAAAGAGTGGCCCAATCCCCCGTCAAGTGGGTCCCCCAGAATGATGGCGATATCGTGACGGCGTGACACCTCGCCAGCGAAACAGTGCCCAAGTTTTCCGACTCCGTTTCCCATTAAAAAAAACAAAACCAAAAAACTTCAAGTATTACAAAAGAAACAAGATTAGTTCTTTCATAGGATTTTTTCTTCTGTTATGTTTTTGTTCTGGTTCTGGTTCTGACTGCTCTGTACTTTGTGTTTCAAGTTTATTATGTTGAGAGAGAGAGAGAGAGAGAGAAGAAGTTGACTTTTGAGTTTGGGTTTGTTACTTTTTTTTTTTTTATATTGAAATGTTATTTTAATTTAATTTAGAATTTATGCGGGCAGTTGACTTTAAGTTACGGGGAAAGCGCGTGGGGATTTTGGAGGGGAAATAGTTATTAAACTGTTGGAGCACCAAAAGTCAAACGTCTGGTTTTTGTTAATATATAATTAAAAAATGTTATAATTAAGGATTAAGGTGTGATTAACTATGCGATGATTTTGCCCTTTTATTATTCTGCTTATTTTTTAATTTTATTTTATTTTTGACTAACTCAATAACTCATTGGATCTTGAAGAGGTACAGCTCATCAGATGTCAGCTCTTCATTGCTTTGTTTAATTTAATTCTAAAATTAACAAAAAAATATGTCTATCTTTTAAAAAAATAAAACTCTTTTTTTTTTTTTTTTTAAAATGACCAAAGTGTCCAAATGGATAAAAATTTTTATCTCTATTATCAATCAAAGAGAGACTCAAACTCAATATTTCTTTAATAATATATTCAAAAGTCTATATCCAACTATTTAATCACTTGGAGATAGTTAAAAAAACTTTTTTTCAAATACCCATAATATCATTCATTTTATTTTAAAAAATGTGAATGTAAACCAAAATTTTTAGATGTAAATATGCATCTTATAAATAATTTTATAAAATGTGAAGAAGAAGAAAAGAAAAGGAAACAAAATGTTGGGTATAAAAAGAAAACCACATGGTGTAATTAATTACACGCAAAAAAGATTTGAAATATCTTTTTCTCCTTTATAATATTTTTACTTGTTATTTTTGGCTGAATCAAATCTGCATTTATATTCAAAGTTGGAAAAAATTGGGACAATTTTGGTGTGCTGTATTATTAAAGAACATCCGGTTTACATGTGTATCTTGTTGTGTTTCAACGTGCAAAACACAAATCATACCTCCATTTGGATTCGTATTTTTAGGATTTTACATTCTTCAAAGAAATGGAAACGGTAAACCTTAACCCTTTTCATATTTCATTTATTTACTTATGTTTTATGACGAAAACGATTTTATTGGGTGAATTACATTTTGGCCCTCTATCTTTGCCATTATTATCCTTCTCTTTGTTTTGAAAACTAACAACTTTGTCCATATCTGAATTATAATTTGACCATATCAAATTTACCCTTCCACCACTTCCAGAATATTTCAACTCCTTTCTGTGATAATATTATGTCACACAAAATCATGAACCCATTCATCCATTATCTCATTCAATAGAATGATAGTGGTTTGACTTTTTTTGAATGTTTTGACGGTTTGAATTTGAGAAAATCCTATAGTTACTGTGTATTGAAAATAACTTGTTATTCTACACTTATCCTAACAACTTCCAATCGTAAGGGACTGATTCGTCGTCTTAATCATCTTCTTTATATCTTCAAATTTGTACAACAATTACATTAAAATAAGTTGAAATTATAAAGAATGTGTAAATATTTTTGTAAACATATGAACGAGAGTGGGTATATTACAAATGAACCATCACTGGATAACCAAGTGATCAATTAGGACTCTTAGGTATTTTACTTAAGAGATTTTGAGTTCGATTCACCTTGACTGCTAATAGAGGTGGCCACGGGAGGCTTACTAAGCTGTTAACTTCACGACACCGAGAAATTAATTGAGGTGCATGCAAATTAGGGGTGTTCGATTCTAGGTACCCTGCATTTTTTGAAGGAACCAAAACTGATGGTTCCTTGAAATTTGGAACCAGAATCGGAACCGACGGTTTCGGTTCTTAGGTACCCAAAATTGGAACCTGTAACAATGGTTCCGGTTCCGATTCTGGGTACCCTGTAAAATACATGACCCCCCAAAAGTTTTTTAAATGGCAAAAAAACTCTTAAAAACTTACAAATACCCCCCTGACACTTGTTAACAAAAATAAAATTACAAATTATAAATTACAAACTCCATTACTTTGTAAAGGTAGATTCTCAAAAGTCAAACCAACTTACTTTAAATGTTATGAAATATAAATATAAATGTATTCACATTACTCTTTCTACAAAAGTTTTTATTAACCCCCATAAACTTTAATTTAATTTTATATTAGTCTCGGTTTCTGGTTCAGGTTCAAAAATTTTGGAACCGGAACCTACCCGTTGATGGTCGGTTCTGGGTAAAAACCATAACCAAACCCCGGGTATCCGCCGGTTCCAGTTTCGGTTCCAACCGATTCTTTTGAACACCCCTAATGCAAACTAGCCGAACATCTCCGACCAAACCAAAAAAAAAAAAAAAACAAAGGGTATATTACAAATGGGTATGAAGAATAATTTTGAGTTGATGGAATTCTTAATTTATTTCTTTCCTTTTCTCAGGGACGCCTTTCCGATTATGGGTAGATGCAGAATGACCATAAAACATAAAAACTTCAATGGAATACCAGAAAAAGTGATAAGTAAAGGAATCATATTTTGTTTCTTTCCCATAGTTGACCAGAAGCGCAACACACACATGACACACGCACACACACACATATATATATTATTTCCTTTTATGGGTTCTTATTCTTGGTGACCACAAATATCTTAAGCATAAATGTACTTTCAATTCTTTTAATGGGCCTCCATTTTCGACTTCATTCAAATCAAAATTTTCAGCCTCCCACCCAACACAAACACTTGTTATATATATATATATATATATATATATATCTTTTTGGTAATTGAGATATCCGGATCAGTTTATACGCACCTCAACTAATCTACGGGGTCCATTAAATATTCTAAAAGCCTAAAAGACTAGGTAAGCCACAATGTTATTGTGGTAGGTAACTCCAAGGTTTGAACTCGAGAACTTAAAGAAATGAGCAAACCTCCTTGACTGTTAGACTTGTCACATTGTTTAATTTGAATGTACCCAAGCTTGTTGAAACCTTATGTTGTGCATGAAATCTGGAGAGGATAATTATTTATTAAGAGAAAAGATATTTAGATTTGCTCAATTTGGAATAATGATATTCAGATTGACTTATACTCCAATTAAGGTAGCCGAAGATCATGCAACATAATAATCCTACGTATTTGAATCTTATCTCAACTCTATCATATAAATGGGTGCTATATAAACCCATTATAACTTGTTTTTAGGGGGCTGGGGAATTCTTTTAAGCAAAATTTCCTAGGAATTATATTGTTTTTTATAAGCTCTCAAAAGTAAGAAGATAACAATTGACGTAGGTTCAAGTTCTAATTTGTCAAACCACTTTAAAAATTATCTTGTGTTCTTGTTTATGATTCTTTCTTTTTTGTTTATTGTTGATTTCATTAAATCACGTGCACATCTATTCCGGTTCCAATAGGGTCAATCGGAATTCTCTAGTTGGTGTAGATTTTTGTATCAACACCCTCTATAGTTGTTGAAAACCTTTTTAAATTATTAAAAATCCCCACTGTCCTTGGGAGGATGTTCTAAAATCTTGGATGTCGTAAGATTAAACAATCTTGCAAGGGGGTGTATAAAACGAACCCTTTAAATATTTGAGTTAATACAATAGCCCTCTCAATGTTTTATTAAAAGACAAAAATTTCTCTGAGGTTAAAATCCTCGTTCCATTTAGTTTTAGGTGTTAAACGATAGAAGGGCAATTCCAAAATCCTCATTCCATTTAGTTTTAGGTTTTAAACTATAGAAGGGCAGTTCGATAAATTATCATCAACTCATACTATTATAGGTTCACAAATTGTAAGGAGATTTTTNCACACACACACACGCAAATATATATATGTATATATTTCCTTTTATGGGTTCTAATTCTTGGTGACCACAAATATCTTAAGCATAAATGTACTTTCAATTCTTTTAATGGGCCTCCATTTTCGACTTCATTCAGATCAAAATTTTCAGTTTCGACTTCATTCAGATCAAAATTTTCAGCCTTCCACCCAACACACACACACACATATATATATATATATATATTTTTTTTTTTTCTTTTTGGTAATTGAAATATCCGAGTTAATTTATGCATACCTCAACTAATCTACAGAGTCCATTGAACATTCTAAAAGCTCAAAGAACTGGATAAGCCACAATGTTATTGTGGTAGGTGGCTCTAAGATTTGAACTTGAGAACTCAAAGAATGAAGCAAACTTCCTTGATTGTCAGGTTTGTCACATTGTTTAATTTGAACGTACCCAAGCTTGTTAGAACCCTCTGTTGTGCTTGAAATCCAAAGAGGATAATTCCTTATTAGGAGAGAAGATTTTTAGATTAGCTCAATTTGGAATAATGATATTCAGATTGACTTAGATTTCAACTAAAGTAGCCGAAGATCATACAACTTTCTAATCTTACGTATTTGAATCTTATCTCAACTCTATCATGTAAATGGGTGTTATATAAACCCATCATAACTTGTTTTTAGGGGGGTTTGAGAATTTTTCTAAGCAAATTTTCCTAGGAATTATACTATTTTTTGTAAGCTCTTGAAAGTAAGAAGATAACAGTGGACGTAAGCTCAAGCTCTAACTTGCCCAACCACTTTAAAAATTGTCTTGTGTTCTTATTTATGATTCTTTCTTTTTTGTTCATTGCTGATTTTTATTAAATTACGCACATCCATTTCAGTTTCGACAAGGTCAATCGAAATTCTTTGGTATAGATTTATGTGTCAACACCCTTTATAATTGTTGAAAACCTTTTTAAATTATTAAAAATCCCCACTATCTTAGAAGAAGAAGAAGAAGAAAGGGGTGGGGGGGTTGTTGTTGGTGTGGGGGTGTGATGGGGGTGATGTTCTAAAATCTTGGATGTCGTAAGATTAAACAATCTTGCAAGGGGTTGTATAAAACGAACCCTTTAAATATTTGAGTTAATACAATAGCCCTCTCAATGTTTTATTAAAAGACAAAAATTTCTCTGAGGTTAAAATCCTCGTTCCATTTAGTTTTAGGTGTTTAACGATAGAAGGGCAATTCCAAAATCCTCATTCCATTTAGTTTTAGGTGTTAAACAATAGAAGGGCAATTTGATAAATTATCATCAACTCATACTATTATAAGTTCACAAATTGTAAGGAGATTTTTATTATTTAGAGAACATTAACTAAAGAGTAATTTACATCAAGCCTTATGGAGGATTTTTTTTTTTTTTTTTTTTTTTTTTTTTTTTGGTTTGATGTCATGGTCAGCTTACACGCACCTCAACTAATCCCCTAGGCGAAGAAGTGAACGATCAAGTAAATCCTCTCAATGGTCACTCCTATTCACGCTATGTTGCAAAAAAGAAAAAAAAAAAAAAAAAAAAAAAAAAAAAAAAAAAAAAAAGACATACCACTAGGTAACCTAATGTAAAAGGCAAAGTAGTCCAACATAATTCTTGAGTTCGAGGCCCCTTGCTTTAACACTCCTAAACTATTTTCTATTATTTTGACCGTTAGGTTGAGGGATTCTATGAAGATACACTGACTTTAATATATATATATATATATGAGATTTGGATTAAATTAACGATAATCTTCATAGATAAAGGCCCTATTATTTGTTAATGATAATAGATACATCTTCTATTGATTTGCTTGCAAAGAAGAGGAGAAGTAATCTAGAATCATGATAAAGATCAAGGAAATTCAAATACCGGGTCTACATACAAACATAACAAGGCATATCAAGCAGGCCCATTTCATTTTCATGAGCCCACTTTCACTTTTATTTTTTTCGCCTAATTTTGAACCAACAATGGATGCCTTTTCAGATTCTCAGGAACTCTATAAAAGTGGTTGTATAACACGTGTCTGTTCACTAACAAACAAAATATTTAGCTCTCTCCAACTCTACAATATTAACCCAGTGCTAATCGCTACCCCACGGAGAGAGATAAATACTTAGCTTATTATGTATTATATATATTATTATTTAATTTTTTATAAAAATGTATTGAAATAAGAAAATTTAAATGTTAGTGATTTTGATATTTTTTATTTAATAAAATTGTAAAAGGTTGTGTTAACACGTGTCTGTTTATTAACAAAGAATGTTTATTATTATGTATTAAAAGCTATTGTTATTTTTTCTTTTTTATGTTTTGTATTAAATATATTGAAATATTTTATGTCAGTGTTCTTTGATTTGTTTATTATATTAAATTATAAAGGTTGCTTTATATCACAAAATATTAGTTTATTAATGTATTAAATTATCATTTATTTTTAGTTTTTTTGTATAAAGTGGTGTTATTGGCTTCCTATATTTTATCTATTAAGACTCCAATTATTTATTATATTTATAATTATCCTTTATTAAAATTATTACATAAGACATAAAGGTAATTGATAATATTTGTCTTCTTATATTTTAGTAACAATAATTTTGTTTCTGATTTTACAATTCTGTTTCTTTATATTTTAATATAAAAACGTATTTATTTTTTATTTTGGTTGTGCAACAAAATCTCCGTTTTTGTTACATATATCCGGCACATAGGGATACCATTAACTAATTAATATACAGAGTTGAAAGAGGAACCAATAAAGTTCTATTGGAAGTATTGATTTGCTCATAATCGAAATAACATTTTTTGTGCGTGAATATTTTCAGAGCCTAATTATCAAAACATCTTTATATAAAATAAAATTATAAATAGGGTGTACTAATGCAAACAAAAAAAAAAAAAAAAAGTGATTGAATAAATGTTAAAAAGATGCATTTTGATGTATTGACTAAAAATAATGAAAATATATAAAAAAATAATGGATTGAAAATTATAGCATGTGTTGTGAAAATATAAATAAAAGGACATTTTTGGAAGTAAAAGGGATTTATAAAGATATTTAACATACTTAAAAATTTTAATGGGATAAATTAGAATTGGATCTTTGAAGTACGACGGTCAATGACATCACTATTTTCTATATGAATATATTGGAATAAGGAAATATTTACTTGTTTATTATATTAAATTATAAAGGGTTTATTTGATATTTAGTTATTTTTATTAGATTTTAAAAGGGAGTGTTAATTGTGTTTGATCATTAAAGCCAATATATAGTATATTAATTTATTAAAAATTAATATATTTAATTTTTTTATATAAATGTATTGAAATAAGCAAATACTTATTTGTATGTGATTTTATGGCATGTTAGCAGGAGACATAGCATAGCATTAAACAAATTATGTAGTTAACAAAAACATTGATCGTATTATTATTATAGTATGCAATATTTGGTGAATGAATATATTGCATAACATCATTTTATTCTCTAACAAAATTTTATTTATTAAAACTAATATATTTTCAATATTATTAACTAATAACTAAAAAAAAAAGTTCAAAAATTGAGCACGTTAGAATCAATTATGGTTAACTAAGTTAAACCTATGGTTAAACAATGATTTAACATCGGTCAACCAACGATTAAACATTGATCAAACATTGGTCAACGTCAGTCTATGACAATCAACGTCATGGACCGATGTTAATCATAGTTTGACCGGCCGCTATATTAAATTATAAATATCAAATTAAATGGCAATGTCTATTGCTTAAAATTAATTCTAAGAACATTGGATTAACTAATATAATGATTTAGTAAGCATTATTTAATGTAAAGTATATTACATTATTTTAAACTTGATATTATTTAATGGACTGCAATTTTGTTACCAAACATACCTTGTATTGTATATGATAAGCAGTATATACAATGGTGGACTAAACATGCCTTGAACACACATGAAACGTGGACGGATCTTAGAAACTCCCAACACACAAACTAAAAATTTATAGTTGTTTAACATAAATGGAATAGAAGGTGGTTGTTAGTTATTCAACATCCTAATACAAATCTTATTTTTAGAAAAAAAAACTATAATTTTTTTTTTTTTTTTTGGGGACATCATACAATATAATTAAGAAATTCTTAGAACTTAGTTATATTCTAATTTAAAAGGAATTTGTTTTAATTTCGTGTATATGAAATAAATGTTAGGTAAGATTTGAGCATAAGCATTTCAAAAAAAAAAAATTTATTTATTTAAAAATTAATAAAATCTATTTATATTTTATCCAAATCATATATTTGGTTGTAAATTATAATTTTACTGAACGAAGATTAATTTATAATTAATGTCACTCCAGTTAGTTGAAACGAACAGGAAATAGCAACAAAGAGGAGGAGCAAATGGCGGGAAGTAACTGATTCTAATAAAAGATGGAATGACATTCAAGAACCAGACGATAATCAAATCCAAATCCGAAAGCTACGGTTATTTATTTATTATTATTATTTTTAATTTTTCTGTTTTATGAATCTTTGTTTTTTCTCTGATTTATTTTGAAGGAAAACAAGCATTACATTCTGTTGAACTTGTTTTTAATTAATTGTCTCATACTCTCATTGGATTCTTCTCTATCGCTTTCTTGCCTTGCATGGTAGCGTACAGGATGAACGGCTTTGATTTCGTAAACGATTCTCTTTCCAAAGGTATGATTTTGATTTATGTTGATGAATGATGATACCTTAATTTTTTTGTTATTGCATGATCGTCATCTTTAATGTTTTAACCTAGATTCAGGAGTTTCCGAATTTTTGTTATTTTCAGGTGAGTTTTCTAATTGACACTTGTAATCAATAATTGAAATTCAAGAGACGAAATGTGTAAGTGAAATTTTACATTAAAGATTTTGAGTTTGCGATAAATGTTGAATTGACGTCAAGGTTGATGTAAAAATGACAATGGAGCTAAATTGATTAATCTGAGATTTCTTGGAATATATTTCTGCTGAAATGTTCTATTTTTTAAATAATCTTTCAGTGTGAGATACTCAAGGCTGTCGATGTGTGCACTTTGAGAATATAGCGGTTTGTTCTTTTGCCATGATTGCATGTATTTAGAGACGTCATAATTGAAATTTGTTGCTTCGTTGTTTGCTGGTTGATATATGTTTGTAACTTGGATCAGGTTTGACAAGCTTGTAGTTATAGCTGAAGTCATTTGTCAGTGAGGCTGGTGGTTGGAAATTAAAGGTGAACATTATTGTGAGCAATGGGGAAGCATACACACAAGAAACGCACTTGCATATCTTTGTTTAATAGTCATCCGAGATGCTTGTGGGGTATTATGCTTAACGTGCTTGAGTTTCAAGATTGGAGTTATGTCAAGAAAAGACTTCCACACTGGAAGCACGGTGGTAATAAACAGGCCAGGGGTGAGCAACTCAAGTTCTATTTCCATTCAAGTTTTAATAATTTCTAGCGTATTTAGCTACTGTTGTAGTACCACAATGTCTGCATTGAAACATAAAATTTACTGATTGCAAAAGAGATTGATTTCTGGATTTCTATTAGCTAATGAGTTTGTTGTAGTACGCTTGGTGCTCTAGACTCACAATCAATTATCTATTTGAAATTGTCTGTTCTTGGCTGATGACAATGCCAAATGGCAAATGTAATAAGTTTTAACTACTAGTAGCGGTTGGTAGATATGTTATGAATTCTAGTGAAGGAACTGATCGTTTAATTCGCGAAAGATAGATTGATCTTGGAAAATTACAGTACCATCTAATGGGGACTCATTTTTTGGTTTTTAAGTTTGTTTAAAGCAGTTGGTGGACTTGTTTATTCTTTTATGTTGTAGACCTTGATCTGCAAGATCTCCTGGCTGGAACAACTCTATAATTTTAGTTAGTCAAACAATTGAAGAACTGTTCTTAATTACATTTATTTTAACTACCAATTTCTTGCTTGTAGGAGATGGAAATCCAGTAAATATTAAAGCATCAGCTGCTGATAATTTGCAAGCAACCAGCAATGCCAAAGTGAATAACTCTAATGTAAGTTATTAAATAATGATTTTCTTCATCAAGCATTTAATTTTACTAACTATACGGACTTAAATTGTTGAGAATGGGACTAATGTAAGCTTCTATTTGGTTTTTGTTACCCTATTCATTAGGATTTTGATCTGTTGATTGATTGTGAAATCCATTAACTACGATATAGCAATCTCATGTTTACAAGCAACATTAATATGATAAACAAATGAAGGTTTTATCTAATCTGAATTTCCCAGGCTGAGAAGGCGAAACAGGCAGCTCCAGAAGACAAAAATTCTGTTAAAGCTAGGATAAAATCTCAGCTTGGTGAAAAAGTGTCTAAGACGAAGGACCAACTTCATCGGAGTTCAACCTACCCTACAAAACCACAATTGACGAGAACATTGTCCTTCCATCGTTTAGACCCTTTGCAAGAGGATTTTCTTGCCGAAATAATATCTGATGATGAAAGTGCTGGAATTATTAATGAAAACAATGGTGACTCCCATGCTACTGGCTTAAAGGGTCCACTATCTAAGTCATTGAGAGAGTTAATTGCCAAGGAAACATACGAAGATCATCAACTGATGCTTGCCCAAAATGACTTGGGGCATAATCAGATTGATGAAACGTCTGAAACTCAACTCAAAGAAAATCACATGCCTCCTCGGGATGACTCAAAGGAAGCTTTGTTGGAGATAAATACCAAGGAACTCGCAACAGATGCTTCACTTTACTGGTCAGAGGATTTCCTGAACTCTCTAGATATAATCAAGTTGAACAAAGAGTTCTTTATAAAACTTATGCATGACCCAAGCTCTCCTTTGGCTAAACACTTCCACAGTCAACAAAACCTCCGTGCAAGAACAGGATTAACCAAGTCTAAAACTTTCCCTTTGCATAGCTTGTCAGGCCAAAGAAGTTACGGACCAAGAAATCTCAAACAGAAGAAGAATGTAATTGAATCTCATGAAATAGGAGGGAAGAGGCAAGTTGCTGGTCAAGTGCAAAATTCAATTGAGCGTGGGTCTGAAGAAGATGTCTATAATCACTCAATGCAACCAACAGTTATTGAGTACAGGGCAGATGGAATTCAAAAAGTAGACAATGAAATGGATGAAACTGGTAGTAGTTCTTCTTTAGCTTCATCCCAGCATCTAAAAAGCAGTGTTAGGAATCAAGCTGCGGTTAAGCTTTTCAAGCATCTCAAACAAAAAATAAAACATGCAATAAAAGAGAGTAAAAAGGAGAGGGATCGTATTGCTTTGGACGCAGTTCTTCACAAAATTCCTTGTGACCAGGGATTCTCTAGAGACTTGAAAATGGAAAATTTTGATCAGTTTAAAGATTCTTTTATCAAGAGTGATGGTAAAGACAGTCCTGCAAGTAGTAATGAGAGCGTTCGCACTACTCTTAGTAGCAAGAGTGGACTTCCCCACGTGAAAAGAGCGTCTCTCAGTGAAACACTCAATACATTCACTCAATTGTATGAGCCTAATTTCAACAGAGAAGCCAAACAGTGTGTCTCTGGGGGATTAAAATTGAGAAGAGAAGAGACGACTTTGCTTTCTAGAAGTACTCCAAAATCTCTGACAAGGATTTTTTCCTTACCTGAGCTCAAATCTTATTTTTGTCAGGGTGAGGATCCTGTTGATGCCTCTCCATGGATGCTAGTTAGGGCTCCTTTAGAGGAAACTGCCAGCATAAGTAGTTTTGGAGAGCAAAATAATGCAGATATGCTTGTAGCTTCAGAACATAGTTCGCAGTTAGATAATCTTGTTGAAGGTCAAATTCAAGAAAACTTGACAAAGGTTACTGAAACAGACCCAGTTATTGGAGATCAAGTGGGATCAAATTCAGTTGCATGCATCAGTGCAAATGCTGAGGTGGGTAGACTTGTTGATGATTTGAACAACTTGATGTCAAAAGACAGTACATCTAATGATGATCAAGATATTGAGCCTGTAGCTACTAAAGTGGCCGAACCAAGTCCACTTCCAGTGCTTGACTTAAAGTTTCAAGAGGTTGCAGATAGCACTGTAGATTTTTTCATTTCGGAAGGTATATTACTTTGTGACTTATTATATTACCTTACATATCATCATTTGCACCAACTACACATATTCTCTCACTCACTGCCAAGAGATAAAGATAAATTGATCAAGACACAAATATACAATAGGATAACTTGATTTTCATAACCGAGTAGGGTTGTTTATTTCCCTAATTAAAAGATTAAATTGATTAAGACACAAGTAAGCAAGAGGATAACTTGGTTTTCATAGCTATTTACCGTTTTAATACAGAATTATTTTCTGAAAGATGATGCACCAATTTTGATTATCTAAGTAAATTATCTAATTTATTTTTGTGTCTTTGAATTTGATGCATCAATTTTGTGTTTCTAATGGGTGAAATTGATGCTTTGTGGTAATTGGATCTGATGATGCAGAATCAGAAGTAAAACTAGGATACCTCCTTTCAGGAGAACAGGATTCTTTTACAGGTCATCAAGATGATTCCAGCATGTATACACACACCGTGGCTCTTAGCAGTGACTTTGAGAAATCAAATGTTCCAAGCAACCATGTACATATTGACATTCCACTTGTTCAAGTGGATGTAAAAGATAAAGCTAAGTTTGATTATGTGAAAAACGTACTGAAGCTGTCTGGATTCAGTGGGAATGAGTCCCTTGGAATATGGCATTGTGATTACCAGCCAGTTGGTCCTTCTGTATATGATGAAATTGAGGGCTGCATACCACTTGATCTTGACTGTTCAGGAAACGAAGATGGTAGTTGTAATCAAATGCATTTATTTGACATGATCAACGAAATATTGATAGAGATTTATGAGAGGTCATACAGCTACTATCCCAAGCGCCTGTCTTCTCTTTGCCACATTCATCCAATGCCAGCAGGACACAATGTTCTCAAGGAGGTCTGGACAAATATAAATTCATACTTGAGCTTGAGACTGGAACTCGACCATTCATTGAACTATATCGCTAGCGAAGATCTTTCAAAGAATGATAGGTGGATGGACCTCCAATTCGATTCTGAGTGCGTCGGGCTTGAACTGGAGGACTTGATTTTGGAGGAACTTATTGAGGAAACAATCTTTTCATGAAGAACTTTAGGATGATCAGGTTTCTTCCTAAGATCTTATACAAAATTTCATCTATTCCTTGATTGTGTAATTAACATTCAGCACCATAGGTAGGAATAGGATACAGAAAAGATGAAAGAGGAAATAATTCTTTTGTATATTGTAGAGTTAGAAAAATGTAATATATTCCTTTTATTCATAAAGTTGTTCTTCTGGAAAGAAAAAGGAAGATGCAAATTTTTAGTAGTAAAGAGGATATAATTAATGTTGCAGTTAACAGCTGAAGATAGTTTAGTCGGCTCTTATCATCCAAGACCAAATGCACATGTATCTGCAATTTTTTAGCACTGATTAAAACATATACATCAAGCTTTGTTGATACTAATTATCCAAAATGCCTGCTGGGAAAATTAGGCATATGAAGATTTAATTGGATTATCTTATTTCCATTCATGTAATTAGTATACAACATGTGAATTACGCATATTTTGGATGCTCTTTGTGTTTGCCTCTTTACCTTGGAAGATTTAGAGTAATTCATTATATATGGAGTATTATACTGAAGTAACTGAACCCCTAAAAGATAGCACTAACAATTTTTTGTTAGTATTATACCCTTTATTTGGGAGGGTTTTGATACTTTTTCAATGGGGTAAATGATAATTAAGGACTATACAATTTCAAAATATTGGGTTACTTTCATTTAATTCTCTTNAATATGGATTGAAAATTTATAGCATGTGTTGTGAAAATATAAATAAAAGGACATTTTTGGAAGTAAAAGGGATTTATAAAGATATTTTAACATACTTAAAAATTTTAATGGGATAAACTTAGAATTGGATTTTTTAAAGATACAATGTCCACGGTCAATGATATCACTCTTTTCTACATGAAATATATTGGAATAAGGAAATATTTTACTTGTTAGTAATCTTTGATATTTTTGTTTATTATATTAAATTATAAAGGGTTTTATTTGATATTTAGTTTATTTTATTAGATTTTAAAAGGGAGTGTTAATTGTGTTTGATCATTAAAGCCAATATATATAGTATATTAATTTATTAAAAATTATATATATTTAATTTTTTTATATAAAATGTATTGAAATAAGCAAATACTTTATTTGTTAGTGATTTTATGACATGTTTAGCACGAGACATAGCATAGCATTAAACAAATTATGTAGTATAACAAAACATTGTATCGTATTATTATTATAGTATGCAATATTTGGTGAATGAATTATATTGCATAACATCATTTTTATTCTCTAACAAAATTTTATTTATTAAAAACTAATATATTTTTCAATTATTATTTAACTAATAACTTAAAAAAAAAATTTCAAAAATTGAGCGGGTTAGTAATCAATTCTGGTTAACATAAGTTAAACTTATGGTTAAACACTGATCTAACATCGGTCAACACCGATCAACCACTGATTAAACACTGATCAACATTGATCAAACATTGGTCAACGTCAGTCTATGACAATCAACGTCATGGACCGATGTTAATCATAGTTTGACCGGCCGCTACATATTTAAATTTATAAATATCAAATTAAATGGCAATGTCTATTGCTTAAAATTAATTCTAAGCAACATTGGATTAACTAATATAATGATTTTAGTAAGCATTATTTAATGTAAAGTATATTACATTATTTTAAACTTGATATTATTTAATGGATTGCAATTTTGTTACCAAACATTATCTTGCATTGTATAAGAGTAATACTAGCCTTACAAAGAGGCATACAAAGAACTATACAAAGAGTCAAATTCAGCACTTGAAATTCATGATTGCCTCTTTCTCTCTCTCTTTTTTCCTTCTTTCAAGGGTTAGATTTGACTGTTTGTATAACTCTTTGTATGCCTCTTTGTAAGGTTAGTATTACTCATTGTATAATGATAAGCAATATATCCAATGGTAGACGTAAACATGCCTCGAACACACATGAAACGGTGACGGATCTTAGAAACTCCCAAACAAACAACTAAAAATTTTATTTAGTTGTTTAACATAAATGGAATAGAAGGTGGTTGTTATGTTATTCAACATCCTAATACAAATCTTTATTTTTAGAAAATAAAAACTATAATTTTTTTTTTTTTTTTTTTTGGAATAGAAGGTGGTTGTTATGTTATTCAACATCCTAATACAAATCTTTATTTTTAGAAAATAAAAACTATAATTTTTTTTTTTTTTGGGGACATCATACAATATAATTAAGAAATTCTTAGAACTTAGATTATATTCTAATTTAAAAGAATTTGTTTTAATTTCGTGTATATGAAATAAATGTTAGGTAAGATTTGAGCAGCAGCATTCAAAAAAAAAAAAATTATTTAAAAATTAATAAAATCTATTATATTTTACCAAATATATTTGGTTGTAAATTATAATTTACTGAACGAAGATTAATTTATAATTAATGTCATCCAGTTAGTTGAAACGAACAGGAAATAGCAACAAAGAGGAGGAGCAAATGGCGGGAAGTAACTGATTCTAATAAAAGATGGAATGACATTCAAGAAACAGACGATAATCAAATCCAAATCCGAAAGCTACGGTTATTTATTTATTATTATTATTTTAATTTTTTGTTTATGAATCTTTGTTTCTCTGATTTATTTGAAGGAAAACAAGCATATATTCTTTTGAACTTGTTTTAATTAATTGTCTCATACTTCATTGGATTCTCTCTATCGCTTCTTGCTTGCATGGTAGCGTACGGATGAACGGCTTTGATTCGTAAACGATTTCTTTCCAAAGGTATGATTTTGATTTATGTTGATGAAAGATGATACCTTAATTTTGTTATGCATGATCGTCATCTTTATGTTTTAACCTAGATTCAGGAGTTTCCGAATTTTTGTTATTTTCAGGTGAGTTTTCTAATTGACACTTGTAATCATATTGAAATACAAAGAGCGAAATGTGTAAGTGAAATTACATTAAAGATTTAGAGTTTGCGATAAATGTTGAATTGACGTCAAGGTTGATGTAAAATGACAATGGAGCTAAATGATAATCTGAGATTTCTTGGAATATATTTCTGCCGAAATGTTCTATTTTTAAATAATCTTTCAGTGTGAGATAATCAAGGCTGTCGATGTGTGCACTTGAGAATATAGCGGTTTGTTCTTTTGCCATGATGCATGGATTTAGAGACGTCAAATTGAAATTTGTTGCTTCGTGTTTGTTGGTTGATATATGTTTGTAACTTGGATCAGGTTTGACAAGCTTGTAGTTATAGCTGAAGTCATTTGTCAGTGAGGCTGGTGGTTGGAAATTAAGGTGAACATTATTGTGAGCAATGGGGAAGCATACAACACAGAAACGCATTGCATATCTTTGTTTAATAGTCATCCGAGATGCTTGTGGGGGATTATGCTAACGTGCTTGAGTTTCAAGATTGGAGTTATGTCAAGAAAAGACTTCCACACTGGAAGCACGGTGGTAATAAACAGGCAGGGTGAGCAAATCAAGTTCTATTTCCATTCAAGTTTTAATAATTTCTAGCGTATGTAGCTACTGTTGTAGACCACAATGTCTGCATTGAAACATAAAATTTACTGATTGCAAAAGAGATTGATTTCTGGATTTCTATAGCTAATGAGTTTGTTGTAGTACGCTTGGTGCTCTAGACTCACAAATCAATTATCTTTGAAATTGTCTGTTTCTGGCTGATAACAATGCCAAATGGCAAATGTAATAAGTTTTAACTAACTAGTAGCGGTTGGTAGATATGTTATGAATTCTAGTGAAGGAACTGATCGTTTAATTCGCGAAAGATAGATTGATCTTGGAAAATTACAGTACCATCTAATGGGGACTCATTTTTTGGTTTTTAAGTTTGTTTAAAGAAGTTGGTGGACTGTGTTATTCTTTATGTTGTAGACCTTGATCTGCAAGATCTCCTGGCTGGAACAACTCTATAATTTTAGTTAGGTCAAACAATTGAAGAACTGTTCTTAATTACATTTATTTTAACTACCAATTTTGCTTGTAGGAGATGGAAATCCAGTAAATATTAAGCATCAGCTGCTGATAAGTTGCAAGAAACCAGCAATGCCAAAGTGAATAACTCTAATGTAAGTTATTAATAATGATTTTCTTCATCAAGCATTAATTTTACTAACTATAGGACAATTGTTGAGAATGGGACTAATGTAAGCTCTTATTGGTTTGTACCCTATTCATTAGGATTTTGATCTGTTGATTGTTGTGAAATCCATTAAACGATATAGCAATCTCATGTTTCAAGCAACATTAATATGATAAACAAATGAAGGTTTTATCTAATCTGAATTTCCCAGGCGAGAAGGCGAAACAGGCAGCCCAGAAGACAAAAATCTGTTAAAGCTAGGATAAAATTCAGCTCGGTGAAAAGTGTCTAAGACGAAGGACCAACTTCATCGGAGTTCAACCTACCCTAAAAACCACAATTGACGAGAACATTGTCCTTCCATCGTTTAGACCCTTTGCAAGAGGATTTTCTGCCGAAATAAATGATGATGAAAGTGCTGGAATTATTAATGAAAACAATGGTGACTCCCATGACTGGCTTAAAGGGTCCACTATCTAAGTCTTGAGAGAGTTAATTGCCAAGGAAACATACGAAGATCATCAACTGATGCTGCCCAAAATGACTTGGGGCATAATCGATTGATGAAACGTCAAACTCAACTCAAAGAAAATCACATGCTCCTCGGATGACTCAAAGGAAGCTTGTTGGAGATAAATACCAAGGAACTCGCAACAGATGCTTCACTTTACTGGTCAGAGGATTTCCTGAACTCTTAGTATAAATCAAGTTGAACAAAGAGTTCTTTATAAAACTTATGCATGACCCAAGTCTCCTGGCTAAACACTTCCACAGTCAACAAAACCTCCGTGCAAGAACAGGATTAACCAAGTCTAAAACTTTCCCTTTGCATAGCTTGTCAGGCCAAAGAATGTACGGACCAAGAAATCTCAAACAGAAGAAGATGTAATTGAATCTCATGAAATAGGAGGGAAGAGGCAAGTGTGGTCAAGTGCAAAATTCAATTGAGCGTGGGTCTGAAGAAGATGTCTATAATCACTCAATGCAACCAACAGTTATTGAGTACAGGGCAGATGGAATTCAAAAAGTAGACAATGAAATGGATGAAACGGTAGGAGTTCTTCTTAGCTTCATCCCAGCATCTAAAAAGCAGTGTTAGGAATCAAGCTGCGGTTAAGCTTTTCAAGCATCTCAAACAAAAAAAAAAATGCAATAAAAGAGAGTAAAAAGGAGGGGATCGTATTGCTTTGGACGCAGTTCTTCACAAAATTCTTGTGACCAGGGATTCTCTAGAGACTTGAAAATGGAAAATTTTGATCAGTTTAAAGATTCTTTATCAAGAGTGATGGTAAAGCAGTCCGCAAGTGTAATGAGAGCGTTCGCACTACTCTTAGTAGCAAGAGTGGACTTCACCACGCGAAAAGAGCTCTCTCAGTGAAACACTCATACATTCACTCAATTGTATGAGCCTAATTCAACAGAGAAGCCAAACGGGTGTCTCTGGGGGATAAATTAGAGAGAGAGAAGAGACGACTTGCTTTCTAGAAGTACTCCAAAATCTCTGACAAGGATTTTTTCCTTACCTGAGCTCAAATCTTATTTGTCGGGTGAGGATCCGTTGATGCCTCTCCATGGTGCTAGTTAGGGCTCCTTTAGAGGAAACTGCCAGCATAAGTAGTTTTGGAGAGCAAAATAATGCGATATGCTTGTAGCTTCAGAACTAGTTCGCAGTTAGATAATCTTGTTGAAGGTCAAATTCAAGAAAACTTGACAAAGGTTACTGAAACAGACCCAGTTATTGGAGATCAAGTGGACAAATTCAGTTGCATGCAATCAGTGCAAATGCTGAGGGGGTAGACTTGTTGATGATTTGAACAACTTGATGTCAAAGAAGACAGTACATCTAATGATGATCAAGAATTGAGCCTGTAGCTACTAAAGTGGCCGAACCAAGTCCACTTCAGTGCTTGACTTAAGTTTCAAGAGGTTGCAGATAGCACTGTAGATTTTTTCATTTCGAAGGTATATTACTTTGTGACTTATTATATACCTTACATATCATCATTTGCACCAACTACACATATTCTCTCACTCACTGCCAAGAGATAAAGATAAATTGATCAGACACAATATACATAGATAACTTGATTTCATAACGAGTAGTGTTATTCCTAATAAAGATTAATTGATTAAGACAAGTAAGCAAGAGGATAACTTGGTTTTCATAGCTATTTACCGTTTTAATACAGATTATTTTCTGAAAGATGATGCACCAATTTTGATTATCTAAGTAAATTATCTAATTTATTTTGTGGTCTTTGAGTTTGATGCACTTTTGTGTTTCTAATGGGTGAAATTGATGCTTGTGGGAATTGGATCGATGATGCAGATCAGAAGTAAAACTAGGATACCTCCTTTCAGGAGAACAGGATTTTACAGGTCATCAAGTGTTAGCATGTATACCCACACCGGGCTCTTACAGTGATTGAGAAACAAATGTTCCAAGCAACCGTACATATTGACATTCCACTTGTTCAAGTGGATGTAAAGATAAAGCTAAGTTTGATTATGTGAAAACGTACTGAAGCGTCTGGATTCAGTGGGAATGAGTCCCTGGAATATGGCATTGTGATTACCAGCCAGTTGGTCCTTCTGTAGATGAAATTGAGGGCTGCATACCACTTGTCTTGACTGTTCAGGAAACGAAGATGGTAGTTGTAATCAAATGCATTATTTGACATGATCAGAAATATTGATAGAATTATGAGAGGTCATACAGCTACTATCCCAAGCGCCTGTCTTCTCTTTGCCACATTCATCCAATGCCAGCAGGACACAATGTTCTCAAGGAGGTTGGACAAATATAAATTCATACTTGAGCTTGAGACTGGAACTCGACCATTCATTGAACTATATCGCTAGCGAAGATCTATCAAAGAATGATAGGTGGATGGACCTCCAATTCGATCTGAGTGCGTCGGGCTTGAACTGGAGGACTTGATTTTGGAGGAACTTATGAGGAAACAATCTTTTCATGAAGAACTTTAGGATGATCAGGTTTCTTCCTAAGATCTTATACAAAATTTCATCTATTCCTTGATTGTGTAATTAACATTCAGCACCATAGGTAGGAATAGGATACGAAAAGATGAAAGAGGAAATAATTCTTTTGTATATTGTAGAGTTAGAAAAAGTAATATCCTTTTATTCATAAAGTTGTTCTTCTGGAAAGAAAAAGGAAGATGCAAATTTTTAGTAGTAGAGGATAAAATTAATGTTGCAGTTAACAGCTGAAGATAGTTTAGTCGGCCTATCATCCAAGACCAAATGCACATGTATTGCAATTTTAGCACTGATGAAAACATATACATCAAGCTGTTGATACTAATGATCCAAAATGCCTGCTGGGAAAATTGGCATATGAAGATTTAATTGGATTATCTTATTTCCTTCATGTAATTAGTATACAACATGTGAATTACGCATATTTGGATGCTCTTTGTGTTTGCCTCTTTACCTCGGAAGATTAGAGTAATTCATTATATATGGAGTATTATAACTGAACCCCAAAAGATAGCACTAACATTTTTTTATTAGTATATACCTTTATTTGGGAGGGTTTTGATACTTTTTCAATGGGGTAAATGATAATTAAGGACTATGCAATTTCAAAATATTGGGTTACTTTCATTTAATTCTCAGTTAAGGAGTTGGATAATAATCTCATCAATATTTTAGACTAATAATTTTAGTTTAACAAACTGTGCCGTCTAGCTCAGTTGGTAGAGCGCAAGGTCTTAACCTTGTGGTCGTGGGTTCGAGCCCCACGGTGGGCGTATTGTTTTATTTTTTTTGCAATTCCTGTGCTTATCATAAAGAGACACCACCCGGTAAATGTGACGACTGAGATATCAAAACAATTTAGATAAAAAGGTCTTCAAAAAGAAGAAATGATCAACCATCTAGGCTAAATCAGAAGTACGAAAGACAGAAATGGGCCAGATTGTTTTTAAGCCTTGTGAATGAATGAGTCTGAGATTTCAAAGCTGAACCGTTTGATTTGATCAGTTAAAACTGCTATAACAAAAGGCCAACTATTCTCTTAAAATGTGGAACAATATTGTTCCAAGCATATAGACTCGGTTCTCAGGATTCGAGATTAAAGGAAGATAATTTCGGATAAAGAAGTTGGGATAAAATGACTTCTTCTATGAAACATGGACGCTTGATTCTTGATATAGTTCTTTCCCGCCTCTATAAATTTGAGGCGCCTTGCATCAGTCTTTCAACATCTACACTTCCCATTTTTTGTTTACGAGTTCAGTGTCAATTCTTTTTAAAAATCTGAAAATGTCTTGCTGTGATGGAAATGCTCCTGCTGCCTCCAAATGTGGCAGCGGCGCCTGTGTAGAGTAAGTTCTCCTTTCGTTGCTCATTTTCTGAACACATCTTGTCAAAAATAATATGATTTATTTGCTTCTATCTTTTTATATGCAGTGACAAAAAGACTGCCGAGACTCCTGTTCCTGCCGTTGCACCCCAGAAGCCGTAAGTTTCCCACCTATTCTAATATCCCTTTTCTTATTTGTTTTCTAATCGATGTTTTTGTGGGGGTGAATAATGTAGCCAAGGTGAGGGAGCCAGTGGCGGTGGATGTGAGAACGGCTGCAAGTGTGGAGCCAACTGCAACTGCAATCCTTGCACTTGTAACAATGATAAATGAGACGTCATCTTATGACCTCTTCAAAGCACTGATGGCTCCTTTGATTAAATAAGAATATTAGCATCTATATATTATATTATGTATCCCCGAATCACTTAATTAGTAGTTTTTGATTTTTTAAAGGCTTTCTGGTTAACTGTGAACGTTTAGAATAGAGTACTTAATGGACTTATGGTTGCTTGGTCTTCGTATTAATACGTGTCATCATCTGCTTTATTGGCATACTGAGATAAAATAAAAATAGATTGACAAACACTTCTTATAACTTTATTTCACAAACGCACAAACGTCGTAATTGGTCAACTTGCATTTGATTAGATGAGACTTTTTATTGTTGGATAGATAAGACCCAATACGAGTTGATACGTTGCATTTGTGAGAGAAAATTAATATTATTATATCAAGATATATAGTAAATGTATGAAGAAAATGAATCGAAACCTCATTCTGTTCTAAGATCACCATGTTTGATTTGCATTTACTCATATCCACTTTGTATGGGAGTTGATTACATAAGCAGTATGAGACTAACAAGAAGTGAAAATAACAAATTCCTGCACTGCTACACATGATGCTACATTAAATCATTGTCATAGATCAAGGACTACGTTAGAACATATCATACAAGAATATAAAAAACACAATTAAAATGGTTACATAATCCAAAGTGTTAGAAGATTTCTTGACAACTGGGAGTTGCACCTTCTGCTCCATCGAAAATTCCTTTTGCAGTTTTATTAAACAAGTTATAAACCTGTAATTTTGATGGATTATATTAGTTCAGCATTCATATCGTTTCATGGCTGAAATTCTGTGGTTTCTAAACGTAAGATTAATAATTACCTGCTTGGACGAAAGCCCTATCTTCTCTAAATCGCTCAGCTGCAAAAAAACGATTTGTACTGTTTAGGTTTTTACTTTGTATAAGTGAAAAAAAAAAAAAAATTGGCGTTCTTTTCTTCACAAACTTTACTTACCGATTTTAAGGGGTTTGTTTCTCTTAGTTCACAGATATAATCTGCCAATTTTGGTCCAATTCCCTGAATCACACTCAAGAGGGTCAATAAAAATTATTTAGACAACAAAAACCATCTTGGATTATTTGATTAAAATTTGTCAGAATCGTTGCTATTGATCAGCGGTGGCATACCTTTAACTCAAGTAGCTCTTCTCTGCATTGTAAAAGACAATTGCGAATTCAGTCTTCATTAATATAATGAATTTATGGCTGTTTATAATAATAGTAAAAAATGAAGAAACACTGAAACAGAGAAATGGAGTTACCTGCTGGCTGTGTTCAAGAAATCAATGTATTCTTGTATAAGCGAGCTCTGTATGTAAAATTTAAAGTGAGAACCACAAAAAGTGCATAAAAGATGAAACATTATGGCTTAAGATTTATCTACTTTACCTTTAAACTAGTACTTAGTGCACCAAATTTCTCAAGTGGGGTGACTGGTTGGAATTTGTTGTTTGCACATGTCAGAGTCAAAGGTGTGCTGGGGGTCTTTGGTTCAAGTACTGGACATAAATAGTCAGCGGATGATAGTTCCTCATGGTGTTTTGGGTTTACATTGAAATTGACAGGGGAAAGTGCTTTTCTTAAGGGACTTTGCCACGCAGCTATCCTCTCACAAATTGGTGAAGAGTTTATGATTGTTGTTGCCTTCTCCTCTGCTGGCACATCTACAACAATTTCAAAGCTTCAGGAAACTCTATAACATGTCCAGAAATGTTCCAAATAATTGAACATTATTTCCACAAAATGCATAAAGCAATAGAGGAACATACCAGTTGATTCAGATGAAATTCTATCAGTACCAACACTCATTTCTTCTGTATTGTTCGCGACTGAACTGATGAGATTCTGCAAAGATTCATAGATTTGAAAACATAAAACTCTGTTAATATCAGTCCTTCGTAATAGCCAGCAATCGAAATTTTCTATAAATAAAAATTGGTTTGTTTTATGATAAAATCAATAATCAATATAATATTCAAATTGTTTATGATGTTGGCAGAAAGTATTTTGGGGTCCTACTTCCATTGCAGAGTTTAGAGTTATTTTGTATACTAGTGATGAACAAAACATGCATCCACTAGATTCTAGAACTTACCTCCGAACAAGAATCACTTAGACCTTCACAAACAAATAAGTTCCTGAAAGGACCACATAAATCCCTGCGTACAAGTAAACAAAGTAAGTAATGTGAACTGAATATCAGGTTAAATGAACAAAAAGTTAACTATTTTTTTTTTTATTCTCTATACCTATCTTTAGCTATAGAGGTGCCTTGGTTGGTAGAAGCCTTCACTTTTGTAGAGCTGTAATTCATGGTTTTCTTGGCTGAGCTTGTAGGAGCTTTGCCTTTAAAGGGAGAAGCAAAAGCTGCCATTCTCTGTGAACTCTTAGTCTTGCCTTTTGATTCAAGCCAAGCTCGCAATTTTGCTTCCATGTCAACTTTAACTGTTGGCGTCTCAACCTTTTGGGCCGATGGAACAGAATTTGAAATGTGGCGTGATCTAGCTGCCAAGCTAACTGTATGAACAGATTCATGGTACTCTCCTGGATTCTGTTAATGAACGAAGTAGATTATAAACTTCAATTATGGCAGAATACAGATGGATAGTAAGATGAGAACATAATCTTTATTAAGAATTCCTTACCAGACAAGCAACCATCAGGGCACGACTTGTCCCTCCGAGAGAGTCTTGCAAGATACGAGTCAATTTGCTCTCTCTATAAGGCACTCGGGGTTTGTTGTTATTCAGTGCATATATCACATTTGACAATGCAAACAAGGATTGGTTGATCTTGCCACTCTCTAGAAGACGAATCCCTTCATTGCAGGTCCTTCTATTATCTTCATTACCTGATATGAATGACAAACCCAAATAATAAATAGAAGGTAACACCTACAAACCTATACATTGTGAACAAAAAAACTGGAGTTCCAAAAGAAGTTGGGCTACTTAAAAGATGCAAAAATAACCTGCTAAATCTATGAGGTTCAACTTCCCAGTGAAAGGGGCACCAGAATTATCAAGCCTAGGAGTGAAAACAGATATCACAAGCACACCATGGCTCCTACTAGATACATCATTCAATCCTGTGTGTGCTACTTTCCGTCTATGGATTCCACGGGAGAACACCTCTTGAAATTCTGTCATTGAGCTAACCGGGACTCGAGAGAGTCCCTTAAGATGTATTTTCCCATCCTTGTCATCTAAAATAGCAATTTCTTTTGCTTTTAGCTCTAAAAGATCATAACATCTATCCATATAGACTTCATAATATGAAATCTCTGCTGTACTTCCTGTTCTCTGGCACATAGATAGAATTGTGGACATGGCCAATGGCATTAGGCCTGGTTTCTCATCAGTACCCTGCATTGTCAATCATGCCTTCATTATTCACTAGCATAATTTTATTTTGCTGACACCATGAAGACTATGAGAAAAACTATAACTGCAAAACCATGTAGAGTAGTAGATGAAACCAAGACTTTGAACCTCTTAATAGATGAAAATAAGACCTTGAGCCTTTGAATCCCTTAATTGATGAAACTAAGACCTTGAACCCCTTATAAAAATGTATTTTTTTTTTTTTTAATTTAGCATGAAAGATGAAATTAAAACCTAAATTAGATTTTCCTTAAGAGCACCGATACTCTCACTTCACACTCCCTTATCAACTATGCCCTCATTATCTTCAATGGTATAATTTGGTTCACTTGACAATAAGATATGATCTCTAATAGAAAAAACTTTAGCTTACAAAAACATAGTATAGTAGACAAACTAAGACCTTAAACCCCCTAAATTTACAATTTATGGTTGACTCAACGATAGTTGAATTTTCAAACTTATAGCAATCTAACAGCATAAGATGAAAATTCAAAAACTATTATGTATAATTAGATGAAATTAAAACCTAAAATTTAGATTTCCCTGATTATTTGCACTTATGCCGTAACTTAGACGTTGATTCTCCACATTTCGAGCCAAAATATCAAATAAAATAATATAAAAATTCAAAGTCACCTGCATGGTGTAAGTCTTTCCACTACCAGTGGCTCCATAAGCGAACACCGTAGCGTTGCAGCCATAAAAGACTCCTGGGATCAAAGGGTTCACTTCACTGTAGAATATCTTGCTCACTGTGTCATCTGTTTGGTCAAAGAACGAGTCCAACTGATAGGTCTCGTTCCGACTGTAAAATGAACACAGCCGTGTGCATAATTAGCAACGAAGACCAAATCCCATACAGAAATCAAAACAAGAAAGTTAAAAAAAAAAAAACACAACACTCACATAGTATTAGGGTCTTTGAGATGAACAGTGACTTCAGTACAAGACTCAGATTCTTTATCCAGAACTGAAATACAGGACCTAGGGTCTCCATTCTTTGCCGAAATTTCTTGAGAGAGGAAGGGGCGAACTCTAACGACTACCCTCACCTTAGAGATGGAATTCGAGATCGTGAGTCTTGAAGGAGTATTTAGTGAGACGCTTAGAGTTTCCATGTTGAAGGAGAGAGTGTGAAAATTTTCAGAGTTGTGGGTTTAAGTGTAACGTATCAGCAGGAAGGAGAAGAGGAGAGAAATGTTTAAAATGATTTGACCGTTGGGAGAAGTTCAGTAGATGTTAGATTTGAATTTATCTTGCCGTTGAACTTTGGTCCATTCGGGTCCACGTGGAGTTGCTTTTACATAGTATTGCGCGGCATCATGTATGATGGAGGTCCTTATCTTTTATTATTAAAATCAAAAAGCCCATTTTACCAAAAGGAATATCAATGAAGTTTGTTTAGTTATGGTGAAGTTCATGGATGCATCTGATGTGATGTGAATTTACAAGTTGCTCCAATTTCACAATGCATGTGATGTTTATAAAGATTTAACCAAAGTCATGAGCAAATAAAGTGGGCATACCTTAATTTTTATTTTTTTTATTTTTTTTTATTTTTTTATGATTGGATTTTTTCAGGTTAGTTTACACACACCTCAGTTAATCTTTCGAGGCCTTGGAATTATTAATGGGATAAAAGTTCTAGTAGCTATCTCTATTAGCAACCGAGTGCATACTTTACGTTATTGATATAGTACAATTGGTAGCATGAAATCCTACTAATTAATAATATTTATCTAAATCTAAATTAAAATATAGTAATATTGGATGGGTAATACTACGCTCACTAACTTTCTCTTATAAATGTGACGTAGAGTTTGTAATTGGTCAGTTCGTAATGGATCCTAGTTGATCTCGTCTGACCAATTATAAATTGTCACGTCGTATTTATAAGAAAAAAATTAATAAGAAGAACCTATCAACCTGTCTTTATTGATATTAGTTTATTTTAGTTTTGGAGCCATAAACTAGTATTAATTGTGTTATGTCTTTGTCTCTTATAAGGATATTTTTAAATAATTAGAGTTGTTAAAAATCTATTAAATTTCATTGATACCCAGTTGATTAAATTCCATGATTTTAATAAGTCAACTTGTGAATCAGTTTAATAAATTTTTTATTTTTATTTATTAAATTGAAATTTCACGAAATTTAGAATTAAATCTCAAACCTTATTGTTTTTTTTTTTAATTTAAACTTAAACGAATGTGGATCAAAACTTAATTTAAAATTTCTTAAATTTATCATAATCTCTCTTCAAGTTTATCTTCCCAAAGAGAAAATTGTTTCTCTTTTTAATAATTTTTAAAATTTCGGACAAAAGCATTTTTAATTTAATTTAAATTAATCCAATACTCCATGTTAAACTGAAGAGATAAATTAATTCTACGACAACCGTCGATAACTCACATCTGAAGTCGTGGTCAACTTTAATACAGGAGCTTCCTTCAATTAATTAAAAAACAGAAATATCCTGCCATTTAATCTCCCGACGATTTATTTGCATCCAACGGTCGAAAATTACCCGCGAATCCATCCTTTCCTTTAAACGTGTTCGAGATTTAACGTATACCTAGTTGAGTGCCGTTTGAGTTTCAAACTTTGTCCCCTAACGGCAACTTAACTCACTAACCGCCGTTAACTGTAGGGTTTAAAACAGCACAAAAAATACAAGCTTTCCATAACGGCGATTAACGGAGACGTCGGTGCCAATATATTCGTTATAGTTTTTTCATTTTGTTTAATTAATTAAATATTTTTGTTTTCCTTCTCTCTCTGTCTTTTGGTTCAACGGGCGAGGATTTTTCGAAACAAAAGCAAGCTGTGTTTTTGTTTCCAGTTTTCTTGTTTGTTTCACAAAAGGGTTTTCTTTCTTTCGATGAGCTTTAGTTTGCTTCCCGCCACTTAAAGAGGTAAGCTTTTAACTCTTATGGAATCAGAAATATTATTTTTTTACGTTTTGTTTTACTGTTTTTGATCATGTTACCGTTATATTTTGAACCACAAGTAGCCGTGATTGGCTCAAGATTGATTTTGTTCTTGTTCTATTCAAAACCCTAGAATTGTTTATGATTTTATTTTTGTTTTTTTAATTCGTTTTTGATCTGATTAGTGAATTTTAAGATCTGGGTTTGTCTATATGTGTATTGGCGGTGGTGGGGTTTGGAGAATTTTGCTCAATAGTAAGATTTTTAGGGTTTGGTGTGATTTTGATTCATTTTTTGAGAATTTTTACTTAGTTTTTGTTGATTAGGATTTTGGGTTTTGGAGATGATGTGTAGAAGGAGATGGCAGAGTTGAAAGCAGAGGAGTGTTGCCTTGAGAACAAACAATTAACAGCCGCTTCAAGCTCTTCTGTATCTGAAGGTAGTGGCAGTGCTATTCTCAAGTCCCCCGGAGTATCTAGCCCTGCAACTACATCACCAACTCATAGGTATTCATAATTAAGCTGATTTAGATTTTTCAAATGCTCTTTAAGTTGATAAACATAGCTGGGGTGCTTATATCATGTTCAGAGTAATATTGGGACTATGCTTCTTTTGGACTAGGGTTTGTTAGCTTGAATGTTTTACAGTAGTAGTGGTCAATTTGCATTGATTTTGATTGATGAAATGGTTTTTTTGATCACTGAGCTTAATTGGTGGTTTGGAACTCGCAGGAGGACCACGGGGCCAATTAGGCGAGCTAAAGGAGGTTGGACACCGGAGGAGGTTAGGCATTTTCTTTACTTTAAATTATGTAAAGTTGTATATTTAAGTGGCTGCTAGTTATAAGTTGTTTTCTACATGTTTGCTTCTTCAAATGCTTATACAGAGTGAGGTCAAGTGTTAATTCATCTAATATGGGAAAAATTATAGCTTTATTTAGTTTACTGGTTTTTGGCTGATTTGGATAAACAATAGCTACCACACATACATAGTTTTTTGCTTTGGTAATCGCTGCTTGTGTTTTCAATACTCTCTTTAGTTTTATTATCGTAGTTACCAACAATCTCTATAATTTGTTACAGGATGAGACATTAAGAAATGCTGTGGCAACTTTTAAAGGGAAGAGTTGGAAGAAAATTGGTTTGTCTCTTTTCTCAAAGTTTCTCAAATATTATTTATATATTGTGCTTCTTGAGTAGTTAATTCTTTTTATTAGAATGCATTTTTCAGACCACACTTTGCAGTATAACAAAATTCTAAGGGCTATGTCTCTCCTTTCAGTGATGGCTATAGCCAATTACTTGAAGAAGTTATATTTCAAATTAGATAATATGAAAACCTTATTATTGGGCTACCCAAAATAGAAGGGTTTGGGAGCCTGAACCTTTTGACTGCAAAACTTGACATCTGGTGCAAGTTAGAAAAGAAACTCAATTATTTACTGGGAATACAAATAGTACCATGTTAGACACATTAGTATTTTCTTCCACTTATTAGTTTTGGAGTATGGAGTTACTACTGTAGCATGCACCTATTCTTCGCCATTGTGTTACATTCTAAGACTGGAGTTGGAGTTGGCTAAAGATTTAGATTACAAAATAATTTAGAAGGAAGTGTATGAATAGAAAATATTTTACTGGTTACAGCTGCTTGAGCACCATATCCTAAGCCCTTTGGAATTCAATCATGTCTTTTTTAATTTGTATTATTATAATGTTATTTAGTGATAAACTCTCCATCATAAAGTGATATAGTAGCATAGATATCAAGCGCACACACAATTTTGACCGCTGCAACATCTAGTTTTTGTGGTAGCTACATTCTGTTTGAGTTTATAAAACTACTCTTACATTTGCTTACAATTTATCTGCAGCTGAGTATTTTCCTGATAGATCAGAAGTGCAATGTCTGCATAGATGGCAGAAAGTTCTCAATCCAGACCTTGTTAAAGGACCTTGGACTCAAGAGGTGTGCACCTAACTGCCATCTTCCTTCCTTCCTTTTTTTCTTTTTTTTTAACCTTCTGTTCCAGCAAACTGGATTCAAGTACTAAAGTTTTGTTACTTGTTTGGCTCATAGGAAGATGATAAAATAATTGAACTGGTGTCCAGATATGGGCCCACAAAATGGTCTGTCATTGCGAAGTCTTTACCTGGTCGCATAGGGAAACAATGCCGAGAGAGGTGAGTTGTACAAATGTTTATATTGTTTTTCCATCTACAATTTTCAACATTACCATATGGCCCTGGAACTTTTGCAGAATAAAATTTTGACATGACGCCACTGCACCTTGGGCAATTTTTTTTTTCTTTTGTTTTTGTAGTTTATTGATTCTTTACTTTGTCATCATTCATTCTTACTGATGTGATTTTCTAACTTTGGTCTCCTGCTGAATAACTGATATACTTACTGAAATCCATGTCTGAAGGTGGCACAATCATTTGAATCCTGATATAAAGAAGGATGCCTGGACTTTAGAGGAGGAATTGGCTCTAATGAATGCCCACCGGAGATATGGGAACAAATGGGCTGAAATTGCTAAGGTTTTACCTGGAAGGTACCAAATTTTTTTTATTGATTTATTTTATGAAAATTTTCATATGCAGAAAATTGTGATGCTATACCATAAGGAATTTGTAATAGGAGGGTATATATTATTGACTGCAGAACGACGTTCATGTCTTGGACTAATAGTAGTGCACCTTGAAGCTTCCATGTCATGATTTAAGTTATATACAGTTGATGACCCTCTGAGCCAGAAGAATCGGTCCAAGTAAATTATAAATTTTATGCTGTGGCATCAATGGAAAGACAAAATTATTTTAATATTATACTAAATTTAGCTAATTTGAACTGCACACTATCACCTGTAGATTTACACATAGTCATGAACTTTCCATAAACATCTTCATGAAACAAGTTTCTTATAAAAACATATTCATGAGATAAGTTCTCATGAAAAGAGGTATTCAGGAAAAAAGTCCTTGTGAAAATTCATATTTACGAAACCAGTACTCTGTTATTGTGGCCACTGGAATATGCATGATTTCAAGTGTATGATTTGTCTGTGGAGGTGGAAAGTTCGAATAATTTTTATCTTCAATGCCAGTGTGAACTTTACACAACTGTACCTATGTGGTAGGACTTTCAGAATATTGTAGTGATTTAATTATGACAAAAATGTGACTTAATTTTTTTATTCAGGACTGATAATTCGATAAAGAATCACTGGAATAGTTCCTTGAAGAAAAAGTTGGATTTCTATTTGGCTACTGGGAAACTTCCTCCTGTTGCAAAGAATGGTCTCCAAAATGGCTCCAAAGATACAAATCAATTTACTCCTGCTACTAAACATTACCTTATTTATTCAACTAGAGACTCAGATTCAACTGCCCAAACTTCATCAGGAACTACAGACTTAGGCAAGGTGGATGAAGACGGCAAGGATCAACTAGAGTCCTCAACTCTAGTTCTAGATATGGCTGCTTCATCAAGTGCTCGTCCTAATGATTCTCTCGATTCTGAAGATGTTGAATGTAAGCCCCTGTCACCTAATATAGATCTTAGCTGCTCAGAGTCAATGCCAAAGCTCGAGAATTGTGCAATCAATTCTGAACTTGTTGACAGCAGAGTAACTGGGTCACAACAGCAGTTTGGAACTCCAACCTATGGCTCTTTATACTATGTGCCACCTCAGTTAAAACATAGTGTTCCATTAGATTCAGATCCTTTAAACACTTGTCCTGTGCAACATGAATGCAACTCTACTCCCATTACTTCACCTATTAGTTACTTCACTCCACCTTGTGTGAAGGGCAGTGGTTTAAGTGCAAGAAGTCCTGAATCTATATTGAAAATTGCTGCTAAGACCTTCCCCTATACTCCTTCTATTTTAAGAAAGAGAAGGTCAGAAGCTCAAGCTTCATTTGATACTAAAATAATTGGAAAAGTAGATGAGGAGACAACAGATACTAGTAGCCCTATTAAGCCTACTGGAAAGGCTTTTAATGCATCTCCTCCATATCGGTTAAGATCCAAACGCTCTGCTGTTTTCAAGTCTGTGGAGAGACAACTTGAATTCACTTTCAACAAGGAGAAGCATGATGATAATACCAAATCTAGGGATTTGTCTGTGAATGCAAGTTGTCCTGTTACTGAAGATTTGCGCACAACAAAACTCAGGGTGACCTAGGGCATAAACTGTAAGTAATAGTTCCAGTAACTTTTATCTTCGATTCTAGCATTCTTTTATCCAAACTGCTGGCATTATCTGACTCAGGCTTCTCTACTTTGATTAATGTTCGGTCATGTGAATGGTTGTGAAACTGAGTGCAAACACTGAAAAAAATTTGCAATTTTTGGTAAATCAATATAAATTATGGAGATCAAAGAATTATTTATATTCTGGATTACAATGTCCTCATCATATTTTTCATCTGTTTGCATACAGCCATTATTTTCTTCATTTGCAATTAGGCTGGTGAACATAATACATGTACGTGGAGGGAACTTGAAAAATATTTTTTTCTCTGATGCAGAAACATGTAAAAGTATATTATTTTTGGTTCAGTCCAGATAAATTCAAATCCAGCATTAATTCATAGAAGACAAGAAAAAAGAAGCTGTACTCCATAGGAAGTAATAAATGAATGAACATGCAATGTAGTTCAGGCCTTCTGGTGGTAACAGAAACATTATAGTTAGATCATTGAGGTCTGTATTAGAGGATTTGGAATTAGTATCTGTATTTGTTGCTAGAGTGTTGTATGAATTTTAACGTCGTGTTGTATTAGTGACTGATTTTATCGTGTGACAATTGATTTTGACTTATTTGACATCTTTGTGTTGATACAGGAATAATTGAAGATACCCTTGAAATTTGCAAAATGAGAACTGAATTTTACTCTGCAAATGTTCAATAGTGATGAAGATCACAAAAGTTTGCTCATATGCTTAGAATTTTGCACTTCCACTGCCACTGCTCCATCATATTGCAGAGAACCATACACGGTTTTTTCTTCTACAGCTTCACTGATATTAGGCATCTGATTTCTGTAGAATAAGAAATTATGGGACTCAATAATTTGTGAAGAATACTGACGGTAATAATTCGTGTACAGAATCACCCCTCAAGACAAGAATGTGCTCATAAGTTGTTCCACCACTATGGACAAATAGATAATGTAGCATTATTTATGTGACTTCATTTCAAGAAATCTAGGGTTTTGCGGTTTGTTATGGACAATATCTATTTTCACCTCTTTTTCAGAAGTTGAATACAGAAGTACTGATATGATTCTTTTGCATTTTTGCCTTATCAGAGATAACATTTAGCCCCTCTGCTTTCTCTCTTAAGGGATAAAATAACAATGTTGTTGTCATTGACGATACTGGTAGAAGGCTAAAGGATCTAAACGCTGATTTTTTGTTCACACTTTCAAAGATCGCATAAACAATTATTCACCAATTATACTTTTTTCACTAACTTGCAAAAATTAAATCAAATTCTGTTCCTTATGATGGTTGGGTTATAATACAAGAAAATGACACAGATATATATAGTTATCCACTATCAAATGAGAAATTTCATGCATAATTGACTACTGATATCAAGGATGTAGCCCATATCAAACTTTCATCAACGACAAGTTCAACACAAACTACCTTTGAATGGTCGAATTGTTTGATAGAGATTTTTAGATGTATTACTCAAGAGGTCTTGAGCTTAAGTCCCTCTTCGGGTGTTAATAGGAGTAGCTAATAGAATTCTTACACAATCAATAGTTTTAGAGTTCTGAATGATTAGTTGAGGTGTAAGTAAATTGGTTTAGTCACCCCGGTTATTTTATATATATATATATAGTATTAATGTCTAAATCATTACAACTGATTCAACCAATTTGATACATTTATTTGTGTTCTAAATTAATAAATTTGCACTTTTTTTGTATCGATAGAACTGAATTCTACTCACAAATATTCAATAGGTAAACCACGTTAAAAACTTCTTTCTTATGCTTAGAAACCGCACTATCACTTACACTGCTGGATTATTATTGGCTTTACTCGTATAATGCATTTTAAAGGGCTTCAAAATCGAATAACAATTTACAAAAATTACAGACAGTAAGTATGCATCATCTCTCTAGTAGGTTTAGATGACACAAATATATATCACCCGTACTTTTCCTTTTACTACCAACAAACTTAAAGAAATTCATGGGAGAAGAGTTCAACTAAATACTTCACATATACTTGCAAAGAAATATTCACTCTCTACTCAGATTTCACTTCACCATTCTTTCTGCAATGCTCTGGCTAATTGTACATCCTTTCCTGGTGTGATTTTACATTATGTATGCCTCTGCCTAACAGCATATTTTTTCTTTTCTTTTTATCATCAAACTCCCTTCCCAAATCATATACAATGTTCATCCAAAACATACCAATTTTTCGATTTACAATGATATCCACACAGATGAATATTGTATATCTCATATGATGTGTAAAAAATGCCAAGTTATTGCTATCCAAACCTGCCGAATTAGTCATGTTTCTGCATCTTAGGTCTTCCCATTCCGTCATCTGGCTTATGAAATTTCTTACTAACTAAACATAATCAACCACTAGTATAAAGGAAGATCACCATTGGATTAAACTAAAAATCAGAGTAATCACCTCAACTTCTTGACAAGCTGCTTAACAGCAGAAGGGTTAAGTTATATACATAATATTTAATGTAGTATTGATACTGCAGCTCCATCAGCGGTGGGAGTGAACCAAAGGGGGCAATTTCAATGGCAGATAAAATGGATAGCCAAATAACCAACAAAAGATCTGCCACAATAATTTTACCCAAAAGCAGCCAGCCACCAATTCATGTATATCTGGACTATAATCCAATCAAGCAGGTTGAAGTTGAACCACGTGCGCATCAAGGGTTCTTTAAGCCCTAAAGAAAACTGTACAACCACGGACTTTGAGAAGAATAATAACTTGCCAGTAGAGATATCTGCCATGTAAACCAAATTTCAACAACTTCATGCATAGAATAAAATTTTAACAGACCTAAATGGTAAGTACAGTTAACCATAATACACTACACCTGAACTGAAGATCCTCAACTTATTTTCTCCACAATACTAAAAATGGGTAACTTGACAATCTTTAAGCATTTTGTAAAACCACTCTACCCCTGCAAAACATCATGAAGCAATATTCATCAAGACTATTGAATAAACTGACGGTAAAGTAAATATGAAAGAAACAACAAGAGAGCAGTTACATTCACAGGAACCTTACAGATATACTCCAAACTAAACCAAGAAGAAATTTCCAATGGTAGTTTGGCCAAGAACTTTAGAACTCCGGTCGAGGCCGTGAGTAGCAACCTACCATTAACATTTACAATATATTGTTATATTACAAAGAAAGAAATAAAAACTCCTGTATAAAGTTCCAGATAAGCACTTATGGTCTCCATGCTCACCCTGCGCTATTATTCATTAGGTAATACATCATAATAAATTAATAAATAATATGAAAGATAAAACGAAAACGAAGCAAAAATCTCCTCACCATGTACGTAAGCGCAGCATAACGTTCCTCATTTAAGAACAGTGGTTTTCCTCTATGCATCTCAGCATCCTGCAACAGGATTAATTCCAAATGTAATGCACCTTGGAAAAAAAAAACTGAAAAATCTGATGTACACATGTAACATAAACACAAAACATAGAAATAACAAAGAATCAAACAGGAGCTAGCATCTTTATAGATAAAGACTGAAAACCAGAAAATTCTGATTATACTGATCCAAGATTTAAATGAACTTTTTTCTAATTTTACTTTAGAAATGACAGTAAATCAAGTCCAAACATTTATCATTCATATCAGTGAAAATTTGATTACATATAATTCAAAGAAAAATTAACAATGACCTTTGATCAATCAGTCAATCAATTGTGAGAAAGTTTTCACCAAAAAGAGTTATCCTTCAAATGAAACAAGAAATATAGTATCCTGGTACAGTTTAAATTTCTGTAGGAAAACTTATACTCTCCAGGAAAGGGAAAAGCCAGCTTATGAAAATTAACAAGCGTACAGATATGTACATTGTTACATTGTTTTTTTACTATCTCAAAAAAAAAAAAAAAAAAAAAAAAGGATTACCTCTTCACCAAATGCATCCAAGTAGGGAGATGGCCAAGGAGCCTGACGAGCACACCGTTGCAGCAGAGTTGTTGTTCTCTATAAACAACAAAGGCTATTAGTCATGAATCTAAGCCAGCAACAAGTGAAATGGAAGAAAAAAAAAAAAAGAAACTAGTAATAAAACACAAGATAACATTCATATTCCTATCCAAGACAGGAAAGAGTATAGACTATACCCTGATCAACAGGAATACACCAGTACCAGCAGCGCAAGTCTGTGCATGAGTTTGACATCCACTTTCCCTTCATATTCAAAAGATGTACTAATGAAAATTTAAAATTTGAATAATACTGATATAAAATATGATAATATAACTCAACAATATACAACATGCAGGCCATGCAGAGCAGGCAAAATTGTATGTAACTATGTATTGCCACCAAATAATCTTAAGAACTTTGACACAAATATGGATGGAACATGAACCTGCAGCATGGCTTCCAGCTTGGAGAGCATAATCTACCACACAACAGACACAACGCAGGCTCATTAAGAACAGATTTGCAAACAGGGCAACACTGTTTTATATACCTGATGAAACAAAAAAGATTCAGAAATGAGTTTTCTTAAAAAATAAGGACCAGTAGCATATAAAGAGGAATTTTTAAAACAAACCTCTGCAATAGATCCTGGTAAAGATGAGGTAGTTGCATTAACTTAAATGGAACAGCTGGGTTGGAGTACAAAATTGTTTGAAAACCATGAACTTCAAACTCCTTGCAAAAATGATGGAACCACTTAAATACTAAAGAGCGTAATACTTCATCCTTGAGAACAAAATCCAACGGGGGGATATTAAACAATTTCTCAAGTTCCTGAATTTCATCGAGGTCACCTAGAGCACCATCACAGCTGTTCATCATGTCATTTATATCATGAAATGATTGATCCAACATATCATCTCTATCAGAGAAAGGTGCTGAGGCAGTAGAATTCAGTAATTTCCAAAGCAAAGCACACCGCCTTAAGTAAGGGAAACTAAATTTACGAATCATATCCTTAACATCACAAGAAGGGTCAACATAGTTTGAAATAAAGTAATCCCGTGCAGATCCAAATCCTCCCAACAGTTTGGAGACGTCAGTGATCAGGCATTCAGAAGAACCTAAGTCATTAATTTTGCATTCAGGTCTCCCACAATATGAAATAACAGCCTGCATTTCAATATGCAGGATTTAGAAAAACTCAGCTTGTAATAGAACACTGAAATTACCAATAAAGGGCATGAAGTACTAGTAACAGACCTGAACTATAGCCACAGCGTAGAACATATGCACAAGGGATAATATGGACTCCTTACATGATATAAATGGGCATGGTAGACAAAAGAGAACCCACATCAATGATGAAAATGGATCGCGAGCAAGGACTGGGTCAGATGCCCGATTCCAAAATTTAATATCAGGATATGACACTTCTGTATCACCATCCTTCACAATATTTAAAATATTACCTGAGAAGCACAGAATTGATAAGACCAATTTTAATTAAATATAACTTTTAGAAAGAATAAAACATTTCAAAAACAATCATAATAAACATGAAAATGCATCACTTTCCACACATGATTGCTGCACAGGCATATAAGGATATGTGCCCCTCAAGTAATATGATAACAATTTGAAAATGCTCAATTAAACAGTAACAACTATCGACAGATTTCATTTATGCAACATATATATGTCATTCAGCTGATGAAATTTGTCCGATGCATTACAACCCAAGATGGAACAACATAAAGCACTTAAGTTATACTAACTTCAGCATCATCAAACTTACTTTCAGTCATCATGCCACTTCAAAAGTAGTTGACCCAATTTTGGATCCTTATCTTTACCAATAACATGTTCCAGTGGGAGAATGGAAACTTTGCTCATACTAAGCAAGAATTCATTAAAGTTCCCTAACAAAGTCTTCAAATTTTTTTTCGTGAACTTAAATAGGTTCAAAGTCACAAAAATTGATAATCTACATCTCAAAAGTTAAGCATCAACTTGAGTGGATGCTGCACATGAGTGCAAATGGCATAAATGATACTATTTGAGATAGAAAAACAAAGCTTAAATAAATATAGAACAACAATGTTTTTCAAACCATATACAAAGGTAGAAGAAGTAACAACAATCATACCTCCTCCCTCACATGCTCTGTTGGAATAATCTCTGGAAACCCCAGAGCAAATAGACTCTGCAAAAAGCTGAACACCTCTAAATCTTTGAAGCACATGAAGAGAATTCTTACTTCGCATACTCTGAACAACCTTTAGCAGTAAAGACAATACAAATCCACTAGAAGATTTAAGTTCTTTATACAATGCATTAACATCATATTTTGGAGTCAAAGAAGTCCTTTCACAACGAGCAGCAATTTCCATTGACATGAGAGTGTATTTCAGAGTGTCCCACATGATCATTGAGTGGCTAACCCTTGCAGATCCAGAAAAACTATTCTGTTTGTTTTGGAAATACATTTTACCAATCACATGGGAGACAAGGTCAAGATTTGATGCCATTTTTTCATTTCTCTGTAAAGGAAAAGCTTCAATCAAAACACCTTTTCCAACCACATTGGCAGCAGATTGCAAGAGAGACAAAGCTTGCTGAAGCCAGAGAGAATTAAATTCTGCCCCTGGTGGAAATGAGTTGCCAACAAGTGATGAACCACTACCCGAAATCATAGGTTGCTTGTAAACCTTCTGGAAATCCCCAGGCAGCACAGGCAAGACAGAGTTTGCTAACTGTCGACATACAGGGCAAAGAAACTCCCCCTAACATAAAGAAGCATGCAAAAGATCAAGATTGTGAAAAATAAATAAATAAAACCCTTTGTCAAACACTTAAAATGAAGTACGGGATAATAAATAATTAATGTATATAATACGTACCTGATCTGGATCCACAATATGCCCTCCTTCAAAAATAATTCTTCTATTATATCTGAATAAACAGTACCAGAAAATATCTTAAACCCTTTTTCTTCTTTTTGTGCAAACTTATACAAATATAATTTGTTGACATTTTCTCATTGATAAGATGCAACATTACTAATACACATAAGATAAAATGCTTGCATCAGATGACTGCCACAAACACAGCATAAGAAGAAAATAAAGGGGGCTGGGGAAAGCAACCAAGACATCCCTGATAGAGATATAGATTAAATTCAAGCCTAGTTAGTAAATTTGCGTATCATTCGGGAATTTCCGTATGTTATCAGCACATCCGTATTATTTGCAAACTATATGCCTCAGACATTTTATTCACGAATTATTCCCGTATTTTTCCTGTATCCGAATTATTCCTGAATTTTTACAAACGTATTTTTCACCATTGGCCGTATCATACCCGTAAAATTCTCGTACCCTTTTTTTGCCGTACCCATATTTACTAACTAGGAATTCAAGGATTCTATTTTGGTGAAGAGAACTTGCCTTTCTTTCAATGATGATAAATAACGTTCAAGACACCCCTGATGCACAGCATGCCCACAAGACGAAAGATGAATTCCATCACAATCTATGGGACCAAATCCATCATAAGCTATAGGTTGCGAAGTAGATTCTGTTCCTGCTCTATCACCACGAGAAGTTTCAGAAGCCGAAGGATTTTCTCCCATCTCTATTGAAAGAGCGGCTACATATTTTGCAAGCAAGACAGATTCAGCACGCCGACTACTTTCAAGACCACCTACAGCAGCTGAGTGTCCATCCTCCTCCATAAGATTTTCACTTGGCACATTATCATGCATTTCTTTGCAAATAGAGAAATACATATCTTGCTCAAACATCTCCAAGGTGGATGCAGTACTTTTTCTTCCATTACTGGATGCAGAAGGTACATGTATATTTCTCACTGAAGGGAACTGAGCCTTAATAAATTCAAGAAGTGCATTTACTTCCCCAGGTTTTCCATTATAATATTGATTGACTGCATTCTCAGTCATCTGTGCACTTGAAGAAGTGTTAGTTCCTAATTGATCAGTCATCTTATCTGCGGTCATAGAGTCATGCCCCTTGCCTAATCGGTGAACTTGATCCCATGAGGGGGGCCCTCTATTGACAAAGCTCAAAAGCCTAGATTTCTATTTTCCAAAAAAAAGATAAGAGATCAGTTTATACAGTGGCAGGAGTCATACAATAATATCAGACTCATTCAACTAAAAAGGGTTAATCGATGACCCCAACTGGCAACAGACACACAAAGTGCTACTAACCTGGAGCAGAATCAGGTAAGAAACAGGAGTTGTGGAATTCGGATCATGGCAGAGAGAGCAGACATCTTGTACAGACTCTTCAGAATCATGATCCAAATCAGAGTTACTTACTTCTGGCTTAGATTTGGAATCATCGTCAGCATCTGAACTAATGCTTGACAAAAATTTGAACTGCTCAGCTTTCATTTTTTCCTGCATAACACGCCAAGTTTAAGAAAGGTAATTCATATTTGGAGGAAGCATGCATTAATTGATCAGGCTAAAGTAAGGTTCATTTGGATTTGATTTCTACCAGAACCTTGGTCTGGCATGGGCAAAAGTGAGGTATCACTAACCACCTGGGCCGTAGTGTTAGAATAAAATTCCTGGTCTTCTTTCATTGATATTTGGGGTTCAGCCCAAGCCCTTCTAATTCTGACCATCCAAATTAGAAAAATATGGAAAGGAATTTCCAGTGAAAATTTTAATTCTAGCTGAATTTTCTAAAACTAAATACCATTTTTTTTATCTCCATTTACAGCAAAACTGTCAGTAACAACAGTATAGGTATATACACAGAACAACATCTCACCAATATGGCAGCCTGTCTCTCTCTCGCTTTTGCCTTGCGTTTCTCACCATCAGAATCTGACCGTGATACTACTGTATCTCTACTTGGATGAGATAATGTTAAATGACTAACAACTTCAGGTGCAAGTTGTTGCAGTTTGGTCATGCATCTAGAATCAATCTCAGCAAACTTCTTAAGTAAGCTTTCAATCAAAGAAGAAATATTGCAATGGCCTGCTTCCAGTAAGTTGTCAAAATTTTCTTTCTTGTGCATCCCCATCAAGAAAACAAGAAGCGATAACAAGCTCTGGTTACCAGCACCATAATGTAACCCCTCAGGAATTTCTTCAGCTGCCAAAGCTAATAGGGGAATTGATTCTCCAAATGACTGATCTCCAGACTTCCTTTTCTGAAAACAGATGTCTAATGCTAATGCGAGTAAGTGCAATGCAGTTAGAAGAACACTATAAGGAGTACGAGGCTCTGTCATTTTATCAGAGAAAACAGCATAAAATAGCACTGCACGGATTAATTTAAGGATGACTTCACATGTAGCAACACTAGCTATGCCCTCAAGAGGATGATATATCTTTGTCCACCTGGGCAGCTGAGTGGTCAATGCAGAGACACTACAGTATCGCAAGTATCTCTCTTCTGCAACTTGAAAATCTCGAGAGCTCCAACGAGGGTGATACAAATCCAGTTCTTTCCAATATGGCCATCGCAGTGAATACATTCCCTGAGATAAAAAGAAAAATCAGGCCAACTTCTTGAAAAAATGTCAACTCTAGAACATTAACAGACAAAATAAAAAGAAACCTGATTAAAACCAGATGGATTCGAGTACATAGCGACTGTATCCAAAATTTCCTGGAGTTGGTCAAACTTGGAGAGGTCACGTGGCAGAGATTTAACCAGTTGACTATGAGTGGCATCTCCAATAGCTAATTTATGAACCAACTCTCTTTTCAAACTTTCAGCAGTTGTTAGCCCACAAAATCGCCTTTCTTGGATTATCTGTATCACAAAAGTGAGCATCTCCTGTACCAGAACAGGTTCATACCTGAAAAGATAAGAGATTTTAAATAACTTAAACATAACCAATTAAACATCAAATCAGACTCCTATCCACAATCACTAATAATAACAAAGAAGCCAGCACCCTAACACAAAAAACAGATAAATAAACAAGTACAAGACAACAAGAGAGTATGCTTCCTCTAGAAAGCCTTCATGACACTGAATATATAAAAGAAGAAACCTTCAATAAAAACATATTACATATCCATGCATAACATGGAAGTTTTTGAACAGAGACGAACACCTAAATTACATCCAAGAGATCTTGTCTCTAGTTGCTCTGCTCCAAAACCTAAAAGGCTTCTCACACACTCCACTCTTTAAAAGTTAGCCTAATTTTTCAAGGTTGTAGGATAGCCTAATTTTTCAAGGTTGTAGGATAGCCTAATTTTTCAAGGTTGTAGGAGGAGAACAAGAAGCAGGCAGGCCACTACAAGGCAAGGGAGATAAGAAACCCATATCTAGCCTTCATAACATGACAAACTCTAAAAAATTGTGTAGAACGAAGAGTTTGCCTTGATGGGCAAAGTGTTGACAAAGCAATTTAGTCCCATGCTTACAGCCACGCATAATACTATTCCATTAGACACAATATGATAAACACAATTAATCCACAACATTCAATGATAGTAAGGAGGATGATTACATACTCGCTTGAACGTTCAGGAAGAAGAGAAAGGTAGCTTAACAGCCCAAAGCGTTCTATAATTCTATTGACAAAAAGCTTAGGTGGAGCCAATGCAGCACAGCACTGCAACAGAAACAGATCAAGCTCTAAACCCTGTTCAGACCTGAAACAGAGAACCATCAGAAAAACCATAAGCAAACTACTAGTCACAACCCTGCAAAAGGAAAGGAAAAAAAAAAACCAAAAGAAAAGAAATACAAACTATGTTAGATGTTTCTCATTAAATACATGATCATATAAAGCATAAATTACCTACCAACGAAGTGAATGATACCACTCAAAAGATGACAGAGCACTATCCCCATTCTTACGCCACATTCCAGCATGAACCTGGGCACAGAATACCCTAATTCGCAAAGGATGCTCCATAACGAAGGCAGAAAACCCGTAAGGGTGGCATCCCCCAAGGACATGCCCAAAGAAGTCCATGGGGACTGCTGATAATGAATTTTCAGAATCAGTGCCAGTAAGTTTTGGAGCTGCAGATTCACCATAACACCTTCTTAATGCTTTTTGTAGAGTCAATGAAAGTAATCGATGTAAAGGTATGTGAACTGATACATCTTGCAGACTGACATCATAAATTATGTCTGGCCAATAAGACAGATTTAGAACACGTAGGTCTTCTCCTTCCATTCCACTCTCATTAGAACCAGCAGAACAGGATGCAACTATGTCACTTTCATTGGTAATCATTGCTCTACTGTTAGTGATACATGTAGCTGGAACTTCACCCGAGCCGGTAAGTCTACTAAAAATATGTTTACCTTTTCGAATCTTAGATAATGTTTTCTTCAATGCAAAGAAGTTGTTACCAGAAACGCTGTTGGTATTTGGAGATAGTACGTCTTGAAGAGAAGCAGATGCATTATCATCAACACCCAACCAATTTTCCATAGCCCTCAAGCACTGGTGTGTCAGTGAAGTGACAGGTGGAGGGACTAAAACATCATAAACAGTTTCAGATATAACATCAGTGGCCTTTGATGTACAATCAGATGAACTACTCCTCCCCATTGCACCACATACAGAGCTTTCCTGGGAAAGGCGTCCTACTTTTGCATGTCTTAAGCTATCTCCATAACCAGCATCCTTCATGTTAAAATCATCATTTGCCTCTTCACTACCAGCAAAAGAAAATGCTCCATCCACCCAAAGTGGTTGAATGTTTGCAATAGAATGATCTAAAACTAAAGGAAAGTGCACAAATTCATTTTCTTCTTTTATATGGATGCCAGTTTCCCTCTTGTGAGGATTCATCCCTTGCACAAAAGCCAAGATTTTCATCCAAATTCTTGAGATATCTGGTTGGCAATGGGTTGCATATTTTGAAACTGCAGCATGGCTCATAACAAATCGAATATCTCCAATCACACGATTAGTGGTATCATACAAATTGGCCCACTTTGTAACCTGCAATGATAAATAAAATAATTAAGTAAAAAATAATGAGAAGAAGAAGAATGCAAAGTAAAACAAAGGCTGCCAAAAAGCATTAACAAGAATAAAGATAAATAGGTAAATAATAACCTGATAACAAAACATATTAGAAAATAAAATAAGATATCAAATTCAAAATCATTATACAAGATGATTACTAGAAGTGCCCCAAGCCCACCTTCCCCCACCCCCCTAACACACACACACCAACCCCTTCATTCTTTTTTTCATATCTATATCCAAACTAGAGGGGCTCAGTTGGATTCCAAATTCTTCCATGTATCATGGAACTTAAGGAGGTATAATCCTGTACCTATGGTAGCTTTTGCACATAGTAAATTACAACATTTCTATGAGTGAAATCAGCACAAGAAACAGAGCAAACCAAAAAAGATAAAAGAACCTCCCTTACATAAACATACATTTCAAATAAATATAATTCATGCATGTGGAACAAAATTTTAAGAAGTTGAAATCCATATGAAGTCGATTATGGGTCTAAAATCAAGTTGAAGCAAATTAAGGCCTGGTCACGTACCAAGGAATTTTCTTGTACACATAAATTGTATTATCATAAGTAAATGTTAACGAAAAAAGCCAAAAGAAATGTCACCACCTAAGTAGAAGCAATATAGTATACAAAAGAATCACCATAGAAGCTAAACCATAATATTTTATTCATCTAAAAAGAATGAAATGAGAGAAAAGAAGCAGCACTCTAGTTATTTGATTCTAATCTAATGAACCAAAACCAAATGTCAAGAATAGCACTCCAAGTTACTCTATTTTTGCCTTTCCTCTCAACTCTCCTACCTTTAATCGATGACAATAATCAAGTATCGCCCGACAACACCCAAGAAATGAGAAGATAATGGACCATAATTCATTAACAAAGAGCAAAGAAAAATGCAGCAATCAACAGTTTTCCCATCTTATATGCATATAACTGCAGCTGGTGATTTTTTTTTCCTCTACCTCAAGTTTTCAGCCCTTGAAATGCATCCATCCAAATGCATATCTAAATGCAGACAAACCTACACTTTCAAATACATAGCTAATGAAGTCCAAAAAGTTTTCTCTATGATTGGACATACATATGAAATATAATTATTTTTTGTAATCATAAATGAAAAGGAAAGTTACCTGTAAACACCCATCTTCTCCAGCACAGGAAATGAAAATGTCTACCAAACACCCCAATAGCATTTCCAGTAGGTTCATCTCTTTAACAAGACGTGGTGTCAGAGTTGGCACCGTGAAGATCTGCACAGAGAAAGTAGACTGTAGTGGATACTTCTTTATAGCATCATCATTGCGCTCTCTAATGGCTTCATTCACACAATCTGGGTAATAGTTTAAAAATACTTTAGCAAACTCATATTTGAAGACAGGTTCTCCCAACAGTTTTAAGAGCAACTCATGGAGTTTCCTCACAACCGTCTCACTCAAGAACCTCTCAGCCTTTACCAGAATCTCCAATAAACCAGCCAAAGAGATCACCCTCTTGGAAACAAAACAAAGCAGACTCTCACTGTTTTTGCAGAACTCTAAAAGCATCTCAACCAGTGCAAAAGTTAACTCATTTGCAACCTTCCTAAGTTCTGAAACACGATCAATCACTCTAGAATTTTCCTGACCACATGTTTCTGCAGATGCTAGTTTGTTTTTCCAACAAATGAAAAGGGCATCCAGAATGGGCCCAACTGAGTTTGCAAACTTCTCAGGAAGGGGCTGTATCTGCTCTGCACCTTTATGCTTTGAGCAAAAGCCCTCACGCTTCCATGCGGTTACATCCCCACAATCACAGCATCCACCACCAGTGTAAATAATTGAATAATCATGGTCCTTGTGGTTCCCATTCTGGAAACAAGGAACACAAATTGCACAAGTCGGATCATGTTCGCATGTTCGGCACCTATATGCTATATCATTATTTCCCCAAACAGCCCCACAAACACCACGCTGCCCAATCTTGGATAACTTCTTCAAAACTTTCTCTGGTTCACCCTCAAACATTAACCACTGCAACCACAACATGCTCTCACGATATCTGTGTTTCATGGTTGGCCCCACTGAGACCCTTTTATTCTTTGGCTTACCTTCTCGTATAACTTCTGCCACTTCCTCATCCGGAGGTAAGATAGTAGACAATATATCCGGTATCCGAGACACATTATCCTTTGCAAAAGTAACTAAACCAGAGTAATCAAGGAACTCCTCTGGAACTCCAACATTAACCAGCCTCTGCTTCAACATAATAAATTTATCAAGATTCATACAGTATATTCAAATAAAGAAAGCTTATATAACAAAAACACATCTATATCCGGTCCTCCTTTCCGCTTCCATTTTAAATTCAAGATAACCAAACTCATAACACAACAAAATAAAATCATAAAACAACCAAACACAGTGGCAATGCCAATAATTCAATATTTCAAACACAATTGAGCCTCCAATAGAAACAAGGCCCAAAAATGAAAACATAAGAATCCGTACATCATTCCAGATGAACGCTCGAGAAGAAAATCAGACAACTAAAGTACTGAAAATAAAATCTTACCCGTACGATTCGATCACGAGGCCTAAGCGGAGTTGAATCAGAAGCGGAATCAACTTCCATAATGTCAATATCCGAAGCAGACTGCCAGTACCGCACCAGCCAATCTGTACAGAAACCGAAACACTGCCTCAATCGGGAGGTTTTACTCCCCAGTTTGCTCCAAATTGAAAAGGTAATTCACTCCCTTCAAAACCCTAATTTTGAATTTTTTTTTTTTAATCTCTACTCATCATATCATTTCACAACATGAACAAAAAAACAACATCAACAACAACAACAACTAATTTTTATTTTTGTATACTATCGGAGTTCCTATTCAGCAAGGCGGTTCACGTTATGTCGCGAATGATCTGTAGATAGCTTATCTGTCGTTTGTTTGTTTAATTTTTTAGAAATTAATAACTGATAATTGGTGTTTAAGTCATGCGTTTGGACTGATGATAATTGAAATAGCTTCTTTACTTGGTTGTTTAAGTTTTACACTGCCTTTCTAGAGTTCCCCTGCACGGCGACTTGGCATCAATTGTCACGTGCGAATAAAAGATATTAGACCGGCCCAGCTAAGGCCCAAACTGTAAAAAAACAAAAAAAGGCTTTTGTTTTTCAATCAAGCACGATTCTCTATATTCATTTCTTCGTTCTAACGTGTGTAGTAGTTATTTCAATAATAATATACTTACAAATAAATTTTATAAAATTTTTTATATAAAATAAGATGACAAAAAATGAATGTAAAAGTGAAACAAAAAGTTAAACTTATTAAATTTATTTTTTCATTCATTTTTTATCACATCACTTTATATGGAGATCTTTGTAAAATTCTTTTGTAAGCGTAGTATTATTCTAGTTGTTTTGGGTAAACCGTAATTGTATAGAAAGAATGAAAAAATACAGCCTAAAAGAGGGGACTTCGAACTCTCCTTCAACCTAAAGGAACAAACTCAGTTGATTTGTGTTTTAATTCTTTTATTCATTTTTTACCATATTACTTTATATGAGTATCTTTTTTTAAAACGGTTAACCGGTTCGATTATAAGTTTGGTTCAAAAAAAACAGTTAATCTCTTTTTAACACCCCTACCTAATAATCCAAGAGGCTATATTAATCATGAGAAGGGACAGCAATAGGAGGATTCCCCAAACCTCCTCCCGGGGCAGTTTATTCCATCGGTTCCATTGAGCCAGCTCCCTCTTTGACAAAGCCCATCATAGACTTGATCATGCTCCAAGTCCAAATGGTTAGGCCCTTTATCACTGTTGTCACACTTTGCAGTAACCTCCTCCTGCGTCGCTGCCAAGGATCGAAAGGAATTCTCGAAAGTAATAACAGTGTTTCCATATCGTTTTAGACTGTTCTTTTTCTAAATAAAACAAAGAAAAATTGAGTTTATGTTTTCATTTTTTTATTTTATAAAACAAAGAAAATTCATCAATTTTTTTTTAAATTAAAAAACAGTTTTTTAAAATTAAAAAACAATTTTTTTTTTTAAGAGTAATACTATACTTATAACCGAGTCATACAATTAAAAAAAAATTCACAAAATTCGTATAAAATAATTATACTATCCTATGTATTTTGTCTGATTGTATAACTTAGTTATAAGCATATTGTCTGATTGTATGACTTAGTTATAAGTATAGTATTATTCTTTCTACAAACATCCTTCTTATCTTAAACAAAATTTACATGAAATTTAAATCTATTGTTATCTTACAAATGATTTTCTTTAAGTAAATTAAATTGAAACCCATTTTGAGTATACTTTGTTGTCAAATTTGATTTCATTTTAAAACAAATATATCAAATATGTTTTTGTTTTTATGTAAATCTATCATCTTTAATATTTCTAAACTCATACAAATTAAATTAATAATGTGACATGAAATGATTTAAATGGTGAAAATTAAACAAGTTAACCTAATTTTGTAATGGTGTTACATTAATATGTATTAATCAATGTTTAGAAAATTGGACCAGACGTTGATCCGATCAAGGGTCCAATTCACAGTTTGATTGGTCCGATCGATGATGTAGTAACAAAACAAATTTTTTTAAAAAAAAAATTGCAAATTAGTTCTTTAAATTTAGTATATTGTAAAAATATCCCTAAAAAATTGAAATTAGTCCCTAAAAATTAAATATATTTCCAAAAAATCCAAAAAAACTCATCAGCCCCTAAATGTTTGAAATACTGCAAACAAACCCCTAGAAAATGACGAATTAACTGCTACAAGTTTAAAATCTAACAAAAACTCCTATAACCTGAACCGGACCGGACAAACTATCGGATCCCGATCCAAGCGGTCGGTCCGGTCTGATTTTTAGAACATTGGTATTAATAAATAATTTTATTTATATACAAGGTAACATTGCTTGGTGGGCTGGTAATTAACCACATTAATTTGTATAAAGCTGGAACTGATACGTAGTACCAACAACCAAGTAAGGGAGGCAATCTTTTATGGTATGTAATGTTGGTGTCCAGTGGGTTTTTATTGTGGATTAACACACCTACTTTAAACAATAAGTATAGATTCAATCCATATCCCCTTATTATGGTTAACTATTTATGTTTCAATTTCTTATATATGGTAGATTAATTAATATATTTATAAATTCTATATCTAAGATAAATATAACCTTAGATTATCATAATATAAATTTTATCAAACACATCTCTTATATTCTGTAATTTATCAAACCCACTGTCTTCTAAGTTCTAATATTTAAAATTATAGGATACAAAAATTTCTAAAATGGGGTGTATGCGATATTTAAAAAAATGTAAAGACATGTTTATATATCCTGTTAATTATTATTAGACTAATTATATGAAACCATATATATATAAATATTACATGTAACATAATTACTTCTTTATAATGCTATTAAAAATATAATGTTCAAAATTTTATACTAAAAACACGAATTCTATGTAATTTTTGACATATCAATAATTAATTCCAAGTGCAGAGTTAAAAAACAAATAGTGAAAAATAAATTGTAATTGTAAATTAGTCGATTAAAACTGTTTAACAAGATTTTATTGAAATTATGATAATAGTTTAATAAAACAAAATAGAAAAATAAAAAATATTTAGTGTATGATATAAAAATAAATAAGTGACAGTTTGAAAATATTGAAACATGAAACAAAGAAAAATATTAAGGTAGTTATTTTTCAAAAGGGATACAATATAATTAATTAAGAAACTAAAGGGTTTAATTGAGAGTATTTAAATTTCAGGGGGCCTTGGTTTTTTTTTCTCATGTAGGTTAGTCCGCCACCAGTCACCACCACCTTTCCTTGCCAAATGTGCATGTGGGTTGGAAGCCTGTGCATGCAATAAAGACACCAGTCTCTCATTGTGCTGTTTCACTTTTCTCTCTCTCCTCTCTCTCCCTCTCTCTCTTTCTGTGTCTAGGGTTAGCAAAAAACAATGGTTATCATCACTGAGTTCGATTGTAACGACTATGGAAACAGCTCTGATTCGAGCATGGCTCAGGCCTTAGTTCCATTCGTTAATAATGACCAGTGGCACGATCAAATGGATGGGGTATATTTTAGTTTCTCCTTGTTTAAATTTCAGATCGTCTCGAACCATCAGAGAGTTGGTGGCTTGAGGCCATAGATCTGGTGTTTGTTTAACTGAATATCTCACTGACTGTTTGTTTTTGTTCTACAGGGGCTAGCTATAGTTTTGATTCTTAGTAAACAGACTATATATTACTCTTACTGATGTCTCCCTTTAAATTTATCTACTGTTACTAATCCAAAATTCAATTACAAAACATATAGAGTTAATTTTCACTCAAAATAAGGTTCATATATATAATTACATTTGAAATCTGGTCAATGAGGATAGACGAAAGGGATTTTATACCCTCTTCAAATACCCTTACTACCCAGTAAAGCTTTATAGATATATATGAGTTCCGTTGAAATATATAACATCTAGTAGTAAAAATAAATAAATAAATTTGTAGATCGTCGAGTTTCAAGATCTGTTATCAAAAGGGAACTTATAATTATATCTCAGACGATGGTCATGGTGGAACATACATATTTGCTCCTTTGGTTGCCATCTGCTTTCCTTATGCTTCAAAGAAACCCTTGACAACCAACAGGTTAGAGGTTTCTTATAAATAATAGAACTTCAGATGATAGAAATGGCGACATTGACTATGAGTTTCTCCTCTTCCGTGCATGTTTAGATCCTTGTGTAATCGTAGTGAACATCACTACAGATAGTTGATATTCGGATTGACTTTAATCTTTGTTATTCATGTTCTTTCTTCAGTTTGTTCTTCTTGTCTTTATGATCTTTTAGTGCATATTTCTTTAGTTTTTTGTGCTTCATTAACACTACATTAATTTGTGTTTGTCGCAGATATCTCGTAATGTTTTCCAACAACCAGAGATAGGGTCACATGTTTTTCCAACCAGATTCTCGTAAGAAAAAGCCTGTCTTGGAAAAACAAGAGTTGTTTGATAGATCACTACCCTTAGTATATTAAAATTATAGTGAGTAATTTTTATTTTAGAGCAGGTAATATTAACCTATAAGAGTCATATATTGTATCAACAAACCTGAAATAGGAAAGCTTGTATACATCAGCAGATAGATATGCCAACACGCTTGAGTGTAGAGGGCGTTTTGATCCTTTTGATTAGTAATTCATTGATATAGTATAACTGTTTCTCTAAATGGAGCACACAACTTTTCACTAGAAGGAATATAATAATTCTCTTTCTTGTCTTTTCCAAGGCACCCGTCTGGTGAGTATACATGAACATTTGAAGAGGTATCCCTTCATATATCTATTGTTAATTTCTCTCGTCTTGCCATATACACTGTTTCTGTCCCACGTCAGTATTGTTTGATTTATACTTCTTAAAGTTGACTGTGATGATAATGCAGATGCTCCACACCCCAAGAGTGGAGTCCCCAACCCCTTCCATTTGAAGATTTCAGCGTCGACTTACGCAACATCTTAAAGACATGGTGTTCGTAAGTTATTTGATCTCTTCCATGTCCTTATAGCCACGTTTTTGCATTCTTATAAATGTTTGATATCTACATTTTTTTTCTTATAGCAAGCTGGTGGGGGAATTAAAACAAGAACCCAAGTGCAACACAAAGCTCAGAACACAAATGGAGTAATTACCGATGCAATGCCAATATCCTTTGGGTGCCTGGAGAAAATGATCTGGTATTCTAACACTAAAACTATTTTTCCTCTCTCTCTCTCTCTCTCTGTGCCAAAATATCTTGAGTTTTTTTTTGTTTTTTTTAACCGCGGGGCAAGAACCAGCAAAATTAACCTATTCTAACTTATTCTTTTGCAGCAGAAACAACGAAGCAAGGCAAACTTAGTAGCGGAAATCAAAAATCTTTTAAGCTTCCTTCGCAACTTTTTG